TTATTTTGATATATCACAGTGAAAGATTTATCGTCCTCTTTTTTTTTTTTTTTTTTTTTTTTTTTTTAAAAAAAAAAAAAAAAAAAAAAAAAAAAAAAACTTTTTTTTTTTAAATGTGTGTGTTTTGCCTGCCTATGTGTGTGTACCTGTTAGGTATGCAGTGTCTGCAGAGCTCAAAAGAGGGCGACGGAGTCACCATGTTGATGTGTTGATGTTGGGACTCAAACTCAGATCCTCTGCAAGAGCAGTAAGTTCTCTTAACCATTGATCCCTGTCTCCCACCCCAAAGCTTAGCTCTTATTAATTAACTACCTAATTAGATACAGGGTCTCACTATGTGCTGCCCGGGCTGCCCTAGTACTCACTATGTAGACCAGGTTGGCCTGAAACTCACAGAGATCCACCTGCCTCTGCCTCCTGTGTGTTGGGATTAAAGGTGTGCACTACCATGCCTGACTCTAGCACACCTTTAAATATTTATTATTGAGAGAGAGAGAGAGAGAGAGAGAGAGAGAGAGAGAGAGAGGAGAACCACAGATCATGTTTCCCACAAGTCATGTGACATGCATAGGGGTCAGAGAACAACTGCTGGTCATTCACTCTGTGCTCTCTCATTCCACTGAATTCCAGAATAGAACTCAGTTTGTCAGGCTTCAGGCAAGTGTTTTTACCTGATGAGCCATCTTGCCAGCTCTGACCCCACAATTCTTATATCATCTTCCCTAGTTTGAGCTTTACTGATCTAACATACCAGGGATCCAAAACCCTAGCCAGGTATGGGGGGCACTTCTGTAATCCCACCATGAGTCAGGAGGGTCATGACTGGGCTACATAGTGATATCTTTTCTCCAAAATCAAAAAAATCCCAAGCTCTTACATAATTCCTTGAACCTAGAGTTTGAAACTCAAAAAGTTTCAGATTTGGGCCTTAAAAAATTATTTATTTATGGGGCTGGAGAGATGACTCAGTGGTTAAGAGCACTGACTGCTCTTGCAGAGAACCCAGGTTCGATTCCCAGCACCCACAACTGGAGTTAAGCGTAACTCCAGTTCCAGAGGAATGCAAAGCTCTTTTCTGACCTCCGCAGCATTGCACAACATGAGTGCACTCACATACATGCAGGAAATACACTCATACACATAAAATAAAAATAAATATATATTTTTTAATTATTTAATTTTTATGTATATAGTGTTTTGCCTATGTGTGTGCACCTGAGTTGTGCAATGCCCACAGAGACCATCAGAGGGCATTGGATCCTGTGAAACTGGAGTTACAGACTGTTGCTAGCTGCCATGTGGGTTCTGAGGTCCAAACCCAGGTCCTCTGCAGGAGCTGCCAGTCAGCTGAGTCATTTCTCCAGCCCTAGATTTGGAGTCTCTTTGGGGCGGGGCGGGGGGGAGACCAGGGTCTCAGGTAGCCCAGTGTGACCTCCAACTTGCTAAGTAACCAAAGATGACTTTGAACTCCTGATCTTTCTGCCTCCACCTCCCCAGTGTTTTGATTACAGGCATGAGCCACTACATCAGGTTTACAGGGTGCTGGGGATGGAACCCAGGGCTTTGTGCATGCCAGGCAAGCACTCTACCCACTGAGCCACATCCCCAGCCTTGAACCAGAATTGACAGATGTCACTAGCCCCCTGACCACTTCACCTCTCTCCACATTTGTCCTCAGATACACTGTGACAGTCCACCCACACCCATTCTCACAGCCATCTAGATCCCCCAGCACCCGGAGGAGGCAGGCAGGGAGCCAAACTTCTGTTACAAACAGGTCTTTATTAAAGAAGAGGGGAGAGGGGAAGGGAGGGGACAGTGTCTCATCTGCCCACAGCCTTTGGCTGCTCAGGGTGGGGAAGCCCCCTTCTACTCTACCCATGCTCCCAAAGATGGCACATCTGTGTGAGGCTGAGGCATAGGAGGACAGTGTGATCAGGGGCAAAAAGTCTTTCCCACAGCCCTAATAAATAACAGAAGGTTTTGGGGTACCCTGGGCACAGCCAAGGGGAAACACAGCACCCAGAACACCAAAACCTGTGAAGCCCTGTTTAAATAGGGAGTTCAGAGGGATGCATGAGATGGTGTATATGGGGGTAGGGGGGCTGAGAGAGAAAGGGTGCCCCAAGACTTTGGGATGGGGGAGCCTGCCCCCGCCCCTCCAGCTGGACTCCATGATTCTTGAGAGAGAGAGCCTGGATCAACTTCCTTGGCTTTGACATGTATAGTAGCACGGGCGGTCCCCCATTGACTGGAATCATTCCCACCCACTCTTGGAAATTCTGAAAGCCAGGGGCTCCTATTGGCAGGCAGTTCAGATCCTGAACACTGGCTGGAGTCCTCTTGCCTGCAGGACTCTTAAGTGAGAGGGCGGTTCCCATTGGCTGAAGTAAACTCCTTTTGGGTTAGAATTCTAAGATCTAGGAGCGCTCATGGGCTAGGCAATGATCTATTGGGCCAAGCTTCAACCCTTGAAAAGGCTACCCTAGGAAGAGGGGGCACACCTGGTTATTTTGGCACACTGGCATGTCCACTAGCACAGCCAAGAGGTTCCCCCAAATGTCCTTCCAGTCATCCTCTGATGTCTGGGTCTGGCTGGTTTGGAGGACAGGTGCCTGCCTGTAGCACTCATGTGGCACCCACGCAGACACACACACACACACACACACACACACACACACACACACACAGCAGGGGAGGAAATGAGGACTTTGGGCGGATTCTGGGTGGGTGGTGGGTCTCACAGCAAGTGGTCCCGGCTGGCAAACAGGTAAGGGCTGAAACTGTCCCGATGGAAAGGGGAGGGATAGAGTCCACTGAGGGTGTACAGGTCCCGCAGCAGGGGCGTGGGCAGCAGCAGCTTCCGGCCACGCCCACCTCCCCCACCTGGCCCCCCCGGTCCAGGGGAGGAAGGTGAGGGACCTTGGCTGGGAGTCGGTGTGGGCAGAGGCAAGGGTAAGGGGAGGGGTGTCGGCTCAGACCTCAGTCGGGGGCGGGGCACACGAGGCGAGGAACACATCGCTGGGGCTCTGGAGGACACGCAGCTGGGAATCAGGTGGCCACGGCGGGCACAGTTCTGCGGCTCTGCAGATGGACAGTGAGATCAACAGATTAGAATTCACGGGAAGGTGCCACGAAAGTCCAGGTACAACTTCTGTCCATCTGGAAATGCCTCTGATTATCCCTCCACTTCCCCGACACTTACTGGATGGGGTGAGCCGTGCCGGTGTCGAATGCGGCCTGCAGGTCTCGGGGGGTTCCTGAGACAAGGAGGAAGAGGGGAAGGGCTAGAGGATCCCATGACCCCACAATCCACAGGCAAAAAGGGGTTCATTAGACAGACACCTCCACAGAAAACAAACCAGCCAAGTCTGAATTAATGCCGTAACTAACTGTTCCCCTCCCAGAGACAGGAGACCTGTTCGCCTCCTGATGGCCCACAACCTTGCCTGACTTCCTACATCCTTGGGCCTCCTTCAGCCACCACCCTCGCCAGCCTGGAGCAGCCTCCCAGCCCCCTTACCTGGGCCACACTTAACTTTTCGAGAGGGCTGTCCATGGTGGGGGCCTGGCTCAGGTCCTCCCAGGGGGAGAGCCTTTGACCAGAGGGGGGCCGGCTCTGGAAATTGTGCACGACACAGGTGACCTGGGCCAGGGAGAGAGAGGGGTCTGAGGCCAGTAACACAAGAAGTTATGAAAATATTCTCCCATTTTTCAGATAAGGAAATTGAAGCTCTGGTTTTCAGACACCTATAACCTTTCTTTAAAATTTATACTTTGAAAGCCCAGAGTAGTGGCCCACACCTTTATCCCAGCACTGGGAGGGCAGAGGTAGGCCGATCTCTGTGAGATCAAAAGCAAGCCTGGTCCTTATAGCCAGTTCCAGGCCAGCAGAGGCTACAGGGAGACCCAGTGTCAAAAAGACAATTAAATAAATAAATAAATGATAAATAAATAAATAAATAAATGTTCAAATCCTTTGGAACCTATGGGAGACATGTCTTGAGACCACCACAGAGATATCCCTTCTTCCACTCAGAGGAGCTTGGAGAAGATTTTGAATAGAGCAGATAAATAGACATACAGGGAGGAGAGAGATCTTTTCAACTTTTGAAACTTGCCTGTGGTATCATACAATCTCAAGTGCCTGTGGAATGCTGTATCTGAATGGGAAGTCTGAATATGCTGCTGTGAACAGTCCTCAACTGCGTTTCAGATGATTAGGAATTCATTATTTTTACAAGAGAGAGGTGATTGTGCACCTATAAAGTATTTAAACATCGACCTTTGCTAGCAAAAATAAAAATAAAAATAAATAAATAAATAAAAGCTGGGCGTGGTGGCTCATGCTTTTAATCCCAGCACTAGGGAGGCAGAGGCAGGTGGATCTTTGTGAGTTCCAGGCCAGCTGGGGCTAGATGGAGACCCTGTCCCAAAAATATCAAAAATAAATAAATAAATAAATTAATTAATTAATTAGTTAACATTTTGGGCTGGCTGTAGTAGTGCATGCCTTTAATCCCAGCACTCATGAGGCAGAGGCAGGTGGATCTCTGTGAGCTCAAGGCCAGCCTGGTCTACATACCGAGTTCCCTAGGCCAGCTAGGGCTACAAGGAGAATCTGTCTCAAAAAACAAACAAGATACTTATTATTGAGATGGAGTCTTACAATATAACTCTGGCTGGCCTGGAACTCAGTATGTAGACCAGGCTGGTCACCTGCCTCTACCTCCCTAGTGGTGGAACTAAGGTATGGGATAACATGCCCAACTAAATTTTTTTTTTTTTTGGTCTTTTTGAGACAGAGTCTCCTTGTAGACCTAGCTACTCTTGAACGCTCTGTGTGGACCAGGCTGGCCTCAATCTCACAGAGATCTGCCTGCCTCTGCCTTCTGAATACTGGGGTTAAAGGTATGTGCCATGATGCCCAGCTTCTAGCTGATTTTTTTAATGTTTAATAAGGTATTATTTTGGGCTGGAGAGATGGCTCAGCAGTTAAGAACATTGGTTATTCTTGCAGAAGACCCGGGTTGGAATCCCAGCACCCACATGGCAGCTAACAACTGTCCATGACTCCAGTTCCAGGGGATCCAACAGCCTCTTCTGTCCTCCGCGGGCACTGCACGACATGGGTGCACTCACCTGCATGCAGGCAATACATGCATACACATAAAATAAAAAATAATAAAATATATATATTTTTAAAGTTATTATTTTATAGAGCTGGAGAGATGGCTCAATGGTTTAAGAGCACTCACTGCTCTTCCACAGGACCTGGGTTCAGTTCACAGCACACATATGGTGGCTAACAACCATATGTAACTTCAGTTTTGGGAATCCGATGCCCTCCTCTGGCCTCTGTGAGGATTGCATACATATGGTGCACTTACATACCTACAGGCAAAACACTCATACACATAAAACAAAAATAAATAAATAAAATTTATTGTTTTTAGGGCTGGAGAGCTGGTTTAGGGGTAAAGAGCACTGGCTGCTCTCACAGAGGACCTGGGGTTTGGCTCCCAGCACCCACACCAGGCAACTCACAGCTCCCTATAGCCCTAGCTCCAGGGGATATGATGCCCTTTTCTGGCCTTGCACTACACACATATACACATACCCCACACACACATAATTTAAAAATTTTAAATTATTTTTATGACAATTATTTATTCACTTTGTGTGGGGGTGGGGACACAGGTGCCCCAGCACATTTGTGGGGGTCAGGGAAACTTACGAGCTAGTTTGCTCTTTCTACCCTGTGGATTTCCAGACTGAACTCAGGCTCAAGCTGCAGAAGGCTTTACCTGCTAAGCTTTCTCACGAGCTCCCCAAAAATCTTTTAATAGGGGCCAAGGCTATAGCTCACTCCATAGAATGCTTCCCTAGCATGTATAAAGCCCTGGATTCCATCCCCAACAACAAATAAACCAGGCATAGGTGGGGTATATTTGTCACCCCAGCACTTGGATGGAAGGAGGATCAGGAGGAGTTCAAGGTTACCATCCCATAGCCAGTTTAAGGCCAGCCTGAAACATGAGACCCTATCTCAAAAAAAAAAAAAATAGTTTTCACAAAAACCTTTCTGTCTTTCTTTCTCTTTTAATTTTAGGGTCTCACTATGTAGTCCCAGCTGGTCTGGAACTCTATGTAAAAACAAGGCTGGCCTCAATTTCACAGAGATCATCCTGCCTCTGCTTCTCAAGTGCTGGGATTAAAGGCATGCACCACCAGGCCTGATCAAAATGTTCTTTGCAAAAATATGTATGTGGGTTTTTTGTTTTGTTTTGGTCTTTTTGAGACAGGATCTCCCTGCAGCCCCAGCTGGCCTGGAGCTCGCTATGTAGACCAGGCTAGTCTCAAACTCATAGAGATCAGTCTGCCTCTGCCTCCTGAGTGCTGGGATTAAAGGCATGTACCACCACACCCAGCTATATGTGTGGGTTCTTTTGGTTTTTTGTTTTGTCTTTTTTGAGACAGGGTCTCCTTATAGCCCCAGCTGTCCTGGAACTCACTATGTAGACTAGGCTGGGCTCGAACTCACAAAGATCCACCTGCCTCTGCCTCCCAAGTGCTGGGATTAAAGGTGTATGCCACCACACCCCGTTATATGTGTGTTTTGGGTTTTTTTTTTTAATGTGTTTGTGTATATTGCCTGCATGTAGGTAAGTGCACCCATCTCCGGCAATGCCCATGGAGGTCAGAAGAGGCTGTCAGATTCCCTGGGACTGGAGTTATGGACAGTTGTTAGCTGCCATGTGGGTGCTGGGATTCAAACCCGGGTCTTCTGCAAGAACAACCAATGTTCTTAACTGCTGAGCCATCTTTCCAGCCCCTATATGTGTTTTTAAAATGTATGCATGTTTGTGTATATGCAGGTCTGTGTGTGCGTGTATGTGTGTGCATATGCCCATGGAGACAGAGGTTGGCGTGTGTATGTGTGTGTGTATAAGTCAGAGATCACCCTCAGGCATCATTCCTCAGGCAGTCCACCGTATGTTTTGAGACAAGGTCTTCTACTGGCCTGGAACTCCCAATTAGGCTACGTAGGCTGGCCAGTAAACCCCAAGATCCCTGTTTCTGCCTCCCCTGTGCTGGGATTATAAGCACATCAGACTCCATCTGTCCATCTGCCTTTTACATGGGTGCTGGGGATAGAACCCAGGTCCTTATGCCTGTAATATAAACACTTTACCAAGTGAGCTATCTCTCCAGCCCCTGAAATAGTCTTAATCACGATTTCTGAGTGTTGTGGCATCCCTTTCAATTTTGCACTCCATGGCAGTGCCTTAGCCAGACTTTGTCAGCCCATTTCACAGATGAGTCTAAGCAGGCTAGGTCACATTAGAGACACCTCTAGCCCCAACCCACGCAGAGATGCATGGGAGCAGGACTCACCAGAAAACTGGCAATGGCTGCCCCAGTCAGGAAGCCAGCCAGCACGTCAGACCAGTGGTTGCGATACTCCGCCACTCGCACAACACCCACCAGGAAAGCAGGACACAGCAGGGCCAGGCAGAGGGAAGGCTTCACGAGGCGGGAGCCCTTCACTCGGAACACCAGGGTCACGTACATCTGTAGGAGTCAGAAACGTGGAGCTAGATCTCTAAAGACACAGGGACTAAGCCTTTCAGGTCCCAAGCATCATCAGAGGCTAAAGGGTGTAGCCAGGATGCAGAGTGGAGATGTGACCAAATACATAATAGCACAGAAAAGAGGGAGCGTCTAGAGTAGGGATGGCAGGGAGGGGCTCCGGGAGTGCCATGGGTACTGTCTGTATGGTGTGTGGGCCAGAAGAGGTGAGGATGTATGGTCCATGCTATCTTCACATGGAGTCCTTGGATGGGAAAAAGATGCTTGCTGTGTTCCAGCAGGACCACAGAGCCAAGGAGTGGAGTCCATGCCAGAGGGGCAAAACTAAGAGCTCCAGACATGGCATTGGAACCACAGGGGACCACTGAGAGGGGTTAGGAGGCATCGATCATTCCAGAGGCCAGAAAGAATAAAAAGAATCAAGGCACTAAAGATGTGAAACACCAGGACCAGCTAAATAAAATAGATCTTTAAAGAATCCTATGGCCAGGGAGACCCTGCCTCATTTTTCCCAAAAAAAAAAAAAAAAAAAAAAAAAAAAAAAAAAAAGCCACGGTAGGGTACACAGTGTGTACCTCCAGTGATGAGGCTTCTCACTGGGAAGGGGCGTGGACAGAGGGGCGGAGTCAGAGTCTCCAATGAGTAAGCTCCTCCCTGGGCATTGTATGACAGGGAAAGGGGCGTGGTAAACACCACAGGGAGGAGTTAGGGCCTTCATAGAATAGATTCTGCCCTAGGGGTGGGAATCACACATTCAGGCAAGGTCTGATGAAGGTGGGGGTCAATCCGAGGCTCCAGCTCCAATAGGTGTGGCCTCCTGCCATAACTCCCCCTCCTCCAGGTCAAATTCCCCACTTCCTGGCCTCTTGCATCTCAAATCTCTCTCTGAGGCTCACCGCAGTGTAGGTGACAGCGTAGGCGCAGAGGGCTGCATCCTTGCACGGGAAGGCACGGCGGGCTGCGGCCACCAGGCTGGGGCTACCCGCACAGGCGCTCTGGTCCGTGACAAAGCGATCAGGCCCTGGCCGGTCAGGAGAGGGTGGTGGGCAGCCCAGGGCAGTGTAGTTGGGGCGACATACTGACAGGAAATGTGGTGTGGGGTTGCCAGTCACCACCTGTCCAGCATTGGCAAAGATGGTGGTGGTGAAGAGGCCAAACGAGTACACCCCTGGCAGTGGGGGAGAAAAGAGGTCATGCCCCTTCCCTGGCCCTCCTCCAGCCCCTGATGGTTCCATAGAGCCCCTTGTCTCCTTGTTTATTTTTATTTACTTTCGTGTGTATGAGTATTTGTCTGCGTGTATGTAAGTGCACCACATGCATGCAATACCCAAGGAGGCCAGAAGAGGGTGTTGGATCCCTTGGAACTGGAGTTACAGACAGCTGTTAGTCACTATATGGGTGCTGGGAATTGAACCTGGGTCCTCTGCAGGAGCAGCCAGTGCTCTTAGCTGCTGAGCCATCTCTCCAGCCCTGCTTTTAAATATTTTTACAACATTTATTTTGTTTGTTTAGGTCTGTATTTGTGTGCTACTGTAAAGTTGTGGGCGTCAGAGGACCACCTGCATGGTTCAATTCTCTTCTTCCACTATATGGGTTCTGGGGATCGAATTTTGGTCATTGGGCTTAGTGGCAAGCTCCTTTGCCTACTGAGCCATCTCACTGGCCTTAATTGTCTTGATACTTCTATGATAACTATTAAAGCCAACTTAGGATCCTATGATAACTAAGCCAAAGTCTGCCCTTCTTTGCTACCACCATGGACCCCCTGTTCCCATCCCCTGGTCCCCTCACTATAGTATATCTAGACTCTGTCTCTCAGGGATATACTGTATCAGGGAGAGGTCCTCCCTTGACTCTGTCACAGCTGCCCTGGGACCCCTCAACACTACACCATCAGGAGTGACCCTAGGAAGACCCTATTGAAATTTCTGGGGTACCCCACTCCTCTTCCTCCTAATCTTCCCTCTCTTCTTCCTCTGCCTCCTGAGTGCTAAGATTAAAGGCATGCACCACCACACATAACATCTTTTTTTTTTTTTTTTTCTTCGTCTTTTTGAGACAGGGTCTCCTTGCAGCCCCAGCTGTCCTGGAACTCACTATGTAGACCAGGCTGGCCTCGAACTCACAAAGATCCACCTGCTTCTGCCTCCCAAGTGCTGGAATTAAAGCCATGCACCACCACGCCTGGCCAACATCTTATCTTCTTATAAATTGCATTTATTTATTTGTATATTCATATGTATGTGTTCATAGGACAACTTTTGGGAATTGGTTCTCTCCTTCTACTATGTTTTTCTGGGAAATGAACTCAGATCATCAGGCAGCAAGCCCCTTTCCCACTGAGCCATCTCACCAGCACAACCTGCTTTTTCCCCCCCTTTGCACCAAGGTCTCATTATTCAGCTCTGTCTGGCCTTGGACACAGCCAAGGTTAGCCTGGAGCTTTCAAGCTGGCTAGACTTTTTTTTTTTTTTTAATGACACATGCTTTTCATTTGAGCATTCAGAAGGCAGAAGCTAGAGGATTCCAAATTCCAACCGATCTGAGCTTCCTGGCCTGTTTCTGGCCAATCAATAAAAAAACCCAAAATCCATTGGCAAATGATGACACACACCCTTAATCCCAGCACTCAGGAGGCAGAGACAGGCAGATCTCTGTGAGTTCAAGGCCAGCCTGGTCTACATAGTGAGTTCCAGGTCAGCTGGGGCTACAGGGAGACCCTGCCAAAACAAAACAAGACAAATGATTTATCATTTTTATTTATGTGTATGTGTGTGTGTGTGCCTGTATGAGTGTATGTGCACCACATGCATGCAGGTGCCTTCTGAGGCCAGAGGACATCAGATATCCTAGAACTGGACTTACAGGTGGTTTGGAGCTGCCTGATGTGGGTGCTGGAAACTGAGTCCCCTATAAAAGCATCAAACTCTCTTAACTGAGCCATTGCTCCAACTTTTGAGTTGCTGATTTTACAGCAATGTGACACCACATATAGCTTGCCCCCCCCCCTTTTTTTTTTTGAGATAGTGTCTCACTTTGTAGCCCTCGATAACCTCAAACTTGAGATCCTCCTACCATAGCCTCCAAAGTGCCGGGATTACAGATGAGCACCACTACACCAGCCCTTACCCCTTAAATTCTTTTTTTAAATTAATTAATTAATTTATTTATTGTCTTTTTGAGACAGGGTCTCCCTATAGTCCCAGCTGACCTGAACTCACTATGTAGACCAGGCTGGCCTTGAACTCACAAGGATCCGCCTGACTCTGCCTCCCGAGTACTGGATTAAAGGTGTGCGCCACCACGCCCTACAATTTTTTTTTATTATTTATTTAATAATCACATAATTAGAAGCATTTACCCCTTGAATTCTTTGTGTGTGTGTGTGTATGTGTGTGTGTGTGTGTGTGTGTGTGTGTGTTCATACGTCAGTGTGCATGGGTGTGCAGGTCCCTGTATACACACGTGCAGCTGCCTATTGGAGGTCAGAGGATAATTTCAGGTGTCATCCTCAGATACCTTCCACCTTGTTTGAGACAGCTCCTCAATGGTCTGGAACTTTGCCAAGTAGGCTGGACTAGCTGGCCTAGAATCTTCTGGGGATCCACCTAGCTTCACCTCCGATCTCACTATCTCAGATTACAGATGTAGTCCCATGCCTGGTTTCTTTTTTCTTTTCTCTTCTTTTCTTTCCTTTCCTTTTTTCTTCCCTTCCCTTCCTTGTTCCCTTCTCCCTCCCTCCCTCCCTCCCTCCTTCTCTCCCTCCTTTCTCCATCGTCCCTCCCTTCCTTCCTCCCTCCCTTCCTTATTAAGGCTGACTTGGCCTATAGTCCTCTATCTTTGAACCCACCCCTGTCCCCCAGACCACAGGACTAACCCCAGGTGGTATCTCTCACCTAAGAAGCGCACCAGCCTCCGCAGTGGGGGACTGAAGCGGCAGCAGGCCCCAGACACAATGGTACTCTCCCCAGTGACCGGACTGGCAGAAGGTGGTGCAGGGAAAAAGGCACGTGCCAGCTCCCCCAGCAGGATCTGTGGACAACACCAAGAAGGGGGTCTTCTGGGCCTTCCAAGCCACCAACCTCCACCAGCCCCCAATCTGGCCTTCCTGCTTTCTGGGAGATTCTACACCCCAGAGTCCAACAAGGATGACCCACACAGTCTCACCGTGAGGGTGGGCCCAGCAGTGACCAGGGCATAGATGAGGGAAGGAGGTGCTCGGCTGGCAGCCTCAGGTCCCGGGTACGGCTTGGCATAAGTGTTGTCATAGCAAAAGAAACCCTGGGTGTGCACAGGGAAGGTGTCGGTGAACTCCAGGCGGTAGGCGAGCAGGACCACGATGCCCAGCAGCACAGACTGCACCCAGCCGGGAGCCAAGAGAGGCAGAAAGAAGAGGATGTCAGAGGACATGGGGCCACAGGACAGAGAGGGAGAGATGAAGAGAGATGGAGGGAGAAATGCAAGATGGAGAGAGACCGAGAGGGAAGGAGGAGGAAGAAGAATGCCTACATGTCTTTAAATTATTTATGTGTACGAGTGTATTGCCTGCATGCATGTATGTAAGTGCCACCTGTGTTGTACAGTGCCCACAGAGGCCAGAAGAGGGTGTTGGATCCCCTGAAACTGGAGTTACAGATGGTTGTTAGCCACAGTGTGGGTGCTGGGAACTGAACTTGGGTCTTCTGCAAGAGCAACCAATGCTCTTAACCACTGAGCCATCTCTCAAGTCCATATTTATTTACTTTTGAGACAAGATCTCATGTAGCCCAGGCTGGCCTCCAACCCCTGATGTAACAGAGGATGCCATTAAACTCCTGATCCTCTTGCATCCACCTCCCTGGTGATGAGAGGACAGGCGTGGGTCACTATGCCTGGTCTATGAAGTGATGGGAATGGTATCTAGGACTTTGTGCAAGCTAGGCAACTGAGCCAAATTCTCAGCCCTGTTTTGGTTTTTTCTGTACCTCAGGCTGGCTTCTAGATCATGAACTTTTGTCTCTTTGGTTGATTGGTTTTGTTTTTTGTTTGTTTGTTTGTTTTTGTTTTTTTGGTCTTTTTGAGACAGGGTCTCCCTGTAGTCCCAGCTGACCTGGAACTCACTATGTAGACCAGGCTGGCCTTGAACTCACAGAGATCCACCTTCCTCTACCTTGAGTGCTGGGATTAAAGACATGTGCCACCACGTCCGACTTGGTTTTTGTTTTTTGAGACAGGGTCTCCCTGTAGCCTCCAGCTGGCCTTGAGCTCACAGAGATCCACCTGCCTTTGCCACCCTAGTGCTGGTATTAAAGGTGTGCTCTACCACATTTGGCTTGTTTGTTTGAGATATGATCTCACTTGGTAGTCCTGGATGGCCTGAAACTCACTGTGTACAATGGGCTTGTCTTGAACTTGCAGTGATCCTCCTGCCTCAGCCACCTGACCACCACGCCTTTTCTTTCTTCCATTCCCTTCCTTCTTTCCTTCCTCCTTCTTCCTTCCTTTTTTTTTTTTTTAAAATTGAGACAGTCTCATGTAGTCCAGGCTGGCCTCAAATTCATTATGCAGCCTTGAACTCCTGATCCTCCTATCTCCACCACCCAAGCCCTAAGATTTCACATGTGCACCACTATGCCCAATAGAATCTCACTCTGTAGCCCAGGCTGGCTTGGAATTCATTACATAACCCAGACTGCCCGTGAATTCCTCAAAATCCTCCTACCTCAGTCTCTCAAGTGTTCATTCAGGCCATGTACCAACCATTTTTATGAATAAGGAAACTGAGGCTTCGGCATGCAGAATCTCAAAGTATGGATGGATGGGACTGGAATCTAGAGGGGGTGCTTCTGAGCCCAAGTTTGTAACCAGTTCTTAAGAGAAAGGGGACAGTAACAGAGATCCAGGGGTGACAGGAGTGAGAAGTCAGCGAGAGATGGTAGGACTGAAACCAGGGAGGTGAAAAATTGGTTTAAGTAGGGACCTGGCAAGGAGGAGGGAGACAGGGACAGATGAAGAGACAAGAGGTTAGAGTGGCTCTGGAGTCCTCACCTCCACAAAGACAAAGCAGGGGATAATAGAGAAGCTGCGCTTCAGGTGAGGTCTTCTTCCCGCCATGGTAAAGGTTAGGCCTGTGAAGATGGGGAGGGAGTGGGAAGTCCAGGGGGGCCTATCTACCCCTGACCCCATTACTAAACAGTTCAATCTCTGCCCCCTAAGCCTTCTGGCCATGCTTCTGCAATCTAGGTCCCACCCTGTCAACAGCTGGCTTTGCCCACTGGACATCCCTGCCTCTTCTAATACCAGGACTCTGACCTCTACCCGAGAGCCAAGGGATACTTTTTTTTTTCAGATACACTTATGTGTGTCTGTGTGTGCCTGCACACATGCCACATCATCTTTGTGCAGGTCAGAAGACAACCTGTGGGAGTTGGTTCTCTCCCTCCGCCATGTGGGTCCTGGGGATCAAACTCAGATCATCAGATTTAGCAACAAGCACCTTTACCTGCTAAGCCATCTCACAGTGGCCCCAGACCCAAGAGATTTTTATACTGGTCTCTATTCTCTATAATTAATAAAAGAAATTCAGAGTGAACTGCATGCCTTTTGGGGAGAACACCAAACAGTTTTTAGAAGAGATACCTCTAGCCTTATGGGGTACCCTTTTCTAGGGTACTCACCTTCATCAGTTTTTAGAGGACGTCATCCTCTTTCCCCAGGTCCCCAGGAGACCCATGCTCCCTGCCTCCTCCCTCCCACTAGGTCCCCCCCCCCGTGGCCTCCATGTAAGCCCCCGCCTCTGTCCCCACAGGCTGTGGTATCTGGTGCAGGCTGATAGCCAGGCCCTCCCTCTTTCCCAGCTGGCTCTCCCTTCTACTCCCCCATTCTCCCAGCCTCCCCCCTCCCTTTCTCCTCTCCCACCAACTCCCACATCTAACCTCAGTCTCCAGGCTCCAGGGCTTCAAGTGGCCAACACAATCAAATCAGCTCCTACCCACCATTACACTGGTCTCACCTGCAAAAATGCCCTAGGGCTTCCTGCAGGCCATCACCAGGACCACTGCCAACTCACAGCCACTCCTGGAGATCAGCAGGGTGAGGATGCTCATCTCCATTGTGCAGATGGGGAAACTGAGGCCCAGGCAGGTGAGGGGAGGCACTGTGGGTCCAGGGCTCCATTGAGGCCTACTCCATGGGGTGACATTGGAAGCGAGGGTCACCACAGGCCCTAAATGACCAGAGAGCCACGCACAGGGTATTCCCACAGGATACAAGCCAGCTACTGTTTCCATCACCACACACATGGACTCCCTGTGACATGGAGTCCGTTTATCCTTGGTGAGAGCCAAGCACACTATGTGGGGTCCCTGTTTCATGCTGAGGTTCACTCATTCACACAAGTCTTCAACACTCCTAAACACACACACACACATACACACACACACACACACACACACACACACACGAGGCTGTGTACATACACCCTGTCGTAGACACCCACTCAGATGCAACATAGCCCCCCAACACAGTCAGAGAGATACACCAGGGGGGCCCTCTTCCTATTCCAGCCCCACAGAAGCCTCCCCTGACACAGTCTTGGCTGTAGACACCAGGCTGCCTGCACAAAGACTCAGCAGAGTCACCACACACAATGGGAGTCACAGACTTGGTCACAGAGTTACACCCCGTTACAAGTGACAGCCACATGCAGGGGACACCCTCTCCTCCACAGTCACAGGAGAGTCACTGTGCCACAATCCACGATGCAACCAGTCAGCCACATGGTCACGAACAGGCATATAAGGAACACATAACAGTCACCACAAAATGACAGCCAGATCCCACAACTAGACACCTAGACAGCCACATACACAGTGAAAAAGTCACACGGTTACCCCAAGGGAGTCACCCGACGGCACTCACACACACACACACACACACACACACACACACACACACACACACACCATCAGAGTGATGCCAATAGCCCCAACAAAGAAAGCCACAAACACAGCTGACACACCCGAACCCGAGCCCAGTCAGACAGCCCCACAACCAGTTACCCACAGCCACCCTCGGCACTGTCTGCGGGGTTCCTGAGGACCCCCAGGCTCCCCGCCCCCAGCCCCATCCAAAGCCTCAGCTCGCGGCCTACCCTCCCCCTCCCCGCGCTGGCCCAGGAGGGACCGGACCGTAGGGACGGATGTCACCAGCCTGGACCTGCGGATGCCGGCCGGCAAGCCCGGACAGGGGGAGGGGCGTCCAAGCTCCTCTCTCACCGGGTCTAGAATGCCGCCGCGCCGTCGCAGCTGACTGAGCCCCCACCCAGTCTAGACTGCCCCGGTGTAGCGGGACAAACAGACGAACGGCTGGCCGAGAAGGAGGACGCGAGATACAAAAGCCAGGACCGCCGGGCCTGCCCCGCCGCGCAGACTCCGAGGAGGAGGCGGGGAGGAGCCACGGAAAAACTAATTTGCATAACCCAGTGGGGCGGGGACTCGCGTTGTCTTCCTAGAGCGAGGGGCGGGGACCACTGACAGCCTTATGTGGGGAGGGTTTACATCGCCTTTATAGCACGTCGGGGCTGGAGGACCCGGTCCTTTATTTGAATAACCCAGTAGGGCGAGGACTCGAGCGCCTGATTTGCATAATCCAGTGGGGCGGAGACTCGCTGGGCCTCGTCAGCTGAGCGAGGAAGAGACTTGCAGCATCTCATTTGCATAACACGGGGCGGGGATTGGGACAAGGATTGGGGGTGTCAGGCGCACTACGTCCGGGTAGCTTGTGGGGTTCATGGCACCTCTTTACCGTATTGGGGCGGGGCCATGAGCACTTCATCTGCATAACCGGTGGGGGTGGATCGACTGCGCCTCAGTTTTTCGGGGCAGTCACTGAGCACCCGATTTGTACAATCAATTTGTGTAGTGGACAGGGACCCACGGCCTAGTTAGTTGGGGCGGGGCCACCAGGCAGTTCATTTGCATGACCAAATCACGGCGGCCGCGAGGGGGGGGCTTGCAGCTCCTCCTTAGGGGTCCGGAAGTGACCACCAAGCACCTTATTTGCTTAACCCATTGAAGCGGGATCATAGAACGCTTAATTTGCATAACCTGGTGGGTCTCCTTACTCTGGCAGGGCTGGGGTTGCTCTTGGGGCGGGGAGCGTTGGCATAGACTGGAATGGAAAAACCTGGAGGTGGAGCTGGGTGTGATCCCAGCACTTGGGAGGTAGAGGCAGGAGGATCTCTGAGTTCTATGCCAGCCTAGTCTACATTTCGAGTTCCAGGCCAGCTACAAGGAAATCCTGTTTCAAAAATAAACTAATGGGGATGGAAAGCAAAGGTTGGGTGGAGCACAATGTGAGGAAGAGACAGGTAAAGTCTCTTAGCCCGATTCTGTGCCTGCTGTCACCTTCTGGGCCCGTTTCCCCATTTTGGGCATCAGCAGAAAACAAGATTCCCAGGACTTTCCCAGAAAGGACAATCCACAATGGGCAGAAGAACCTGGTTACTCATATCTGTTTCTGTTTTCGTTTTAAGATAGTATCTCATGTAGACTAGGCTGGTCTGGATCTCACAGAGATCCTGTAGCCTGAGTGCTGGGAGTAAAGGTGTGCACTGCCTCCTCTGAATGTGTTAGCTTTGAACTCCTGATCTCCCTACCTCCACCTCCCAAATGCTGGGATGACATGCCTCAAACACTAAATCTTGTTTCACTGTCCTAACTAGAGCCACACATGCCCCCCAAAGTGCCTGAGGAGTTAGCTGGGGGGTGGGGGGGGGCTGGAGAGGATCCCAGGCTCTTGAACCAGCAGGAGCAAAAGTCCAGGGTGGAGGAAAGTCTCAGCTAGTTTATTTTCTCTCTGGACGGGTCTTCAAGGAAAGCAGTCCCGGCTGCCCAAGCTGTGGAGAAAGATAGTGGATCATTCCTTGGTTTGGACCAGGAGGACCCAGGACTGCCAGGGACCAAATGCCCAGATGGGGAGCCTGAAGGTCTATGCTATGGGACTCATAGTGGGCCAGGTGGGGAAGGGATGGGGAGGGACAGGGAGGGTCTGCACCAGTAGGAAAGGGTCCACTCTTGCTGAACGGCCTTTCCCAGTCAGAATCAGAGTCCCACGAGGGGTACGGAGGACTCAGGCACCAGTGCCCCTTGTAGCCTGTGGGAAGAGATGTGCCATACTGGACCTTCAGATCCTAAATGTGACCTTCTCTAGCAACTTCAGAATATGGATCTAGTGTCCCTTGATATGAAACTATACTGATCTGTGATTTTGACCCTCACATTTCTGGGTGACCAAATTATGACATCAATGACCTTTGAAATATTCCCTTAAAAAGAGTCCACAGAACCAAGCACGGTGGCACACATCTATAATCTCAGCACTCAGGAGGTAGATGCAGGAGGATGAGAAGGTTAAGGTTGTCCACAGATAGAAAGTAAATTTAGGCTACCCTGGGCTACTTAAGACCTTATCTCAAAAAAACAAGGGAAAAACGCTGGAGAGATGGTTTAGTGGTTAGAAGCACTGATTGCTCTTGCAGAGGACTACTGGGTTTGGTTCCTGGCACCCACATGGTGACTAACAACCATTTGTAACTCCAGTTTCAGGGGATCCAACACCCTCTTCTGTCCTCTGCAGGCATTGCATGCAGGTGGTGGTGCACTTACATACATGCAGGCAAAACACTCATACATATAAAATAAAAATAAATAAATCAAAAAATATTTTAAAAGCTGGGCCTGGTGGCACATGCCTTTAATTCCAGTATTTGGGAGGCAGATCTCTGTGAGTTCAAGGCCAGCCTGGTCTACATAGCAAGTTCTGGGCCAGGTGGGGCTACAGGGAGACCCTGTCTTAAAAAAACAAACAAACAAAAAAATGTAAAAAGCAAGGAGAAAAAAACCTCACAGACCCTGAATGTGGCCCTGAGTGACACCTATGTAAAACATCAAAGGACTATGTAGCCCAGGCTAGCCTTGAACTTGAGATCCTTCCTCACCCATCTCTCAAGTGCTGGGATTTAGGCCTTTGCAACCTCAACCAATCTCTCAGTCACTCCTTAACGCGACCTCAAACCAAGACCCCAAGTGATGTGACCCTCATTAGGACTTCTGAATGTGGTCTCCTATAAATGTAGCAAGGAATGACACCCTCACAACCCCCATCTTCCCCATGCCTCTTAACCCCACCCCATGACACACACATTCAGCCCCCTCACCCCTAAGACTGGAGGCTCTGGGTCGGGAGCCAGTGGACAAGATAAGACAGTTGATAGAGCTCTGAAGACTATGAACAGCAGACCTATGTGGAGACAGAGAGAGAGGGCCCCCAGGAGACACTGAGGTATCCAGAGTACCCCAGAATCAGGGTTAGGGCAAGGAAGGCCATGGTGAGGGTGATCCCTAGGAGGAGGAGAAGCAGCCTTTGAACCAAATAGGTTCCAGACTCCGTGGGGGGGGGGGGCAGGTCAGAGGAGGGTCAAGGATTAGCGGTCAGGCCTCACCATATGTCACACAGCTCCTTCTGTAGATTATCCTCCCAGCAGTCATTGCCTTCCACCAGAACCTCCTCTGTCTCTGGTCGTGAAGCTGGCTCATAGGCCTGCTGCTTCATCTTAGTCAGAATCTGAGGTTCCCCGGGGAAGAGATGGGTGCAGTGATCATCCATACTGGTAATCATGACCATGACCTATCACTTAAATTCCCAGCTGCATTCATGTCCCTCTTAGCAAATGTAGCTGTCTAAACGGGAGGGATACCTAGTTACCACACCCATTATATGGAGAGGCAAATCGAGGTCCACAGAGGCAAAGAGATGTGCCGAAATTCACACAGAAGTACAGAGCAGAGCTGGGATTTGATTCTGACCTCCCAGATGGAGGCAGAAGCTGGAGGCCAAGAAAGACTGCCATTCACACCATCTCCCACAGGTTCACCGTGTTCTCTGCTCACCTTGCGACATTTCACCTGTCTTTTCTGCATCTTCTGGATATTGAGAACATCTTCAGAGATCTCTTCCTCCTGGGCCTCTGTGGAGAGAGGGTGGTCAGGGGACAGGGGAAGCAAAGGGGCCCCAACCCTTCTGGGCACTCACGGAGCTTCCGGTAGATAAATGTCACCTCTTCCCGCACCAGCTCCAGCTCCTCCCACAGGAACTTCTTGCTAAGAGACCAGAAGAACCTAGACCTGCGCTCCAGGCCATTCCCCAAACCTCCCTGGCCTCCCACATCCCCGTCAGTGCAGCCCCTCGCTGCCCAGGCTCCGCCCCACGCCCAGGCCTCTCCCACTGGGCCCCGCCCACCACACCAGGCCCCTCCCTCTGCCTCAGGCCACACCGCCTCGGGGCTCTTCCCACTGCATAGGCTTGCCCGACTGCACAGGCTCCTCCCAATGCCTCAAGCTTCACCCACTTCCCAGACTCCAACTGCCTCAGAACCTGCCCACTGCCGCAGGCTCCTCCCACTGCCCCAGACTCCACCTAGTCCCAGACCCCACCCACGTCCCCAGGCTCCACCCTCTATTTTACCGTCCACATTCCCCTTCCAACCGCAGTCTGCCCAGGCTGCCGCTACTGGCCTCCACTCTTACCAGCCTCTCCGCCCTGCTCAGCCTCCTCCGTTTTTCGTTCCTCCTGGCCCTACCCCAATCTCCTGATCCCCTGGCCTCCTTCTCTAGCTTGCTATCTCCCTCACCTTCTACCTCCCCTAAACACACCCTCTCTCCGGCCACGTATCTCCTAGCGTCTTCTGCGCTCCTCCGCCTTGCACCCCCCAAGCCCTCCACTCCCCATCCCCACTACACTCGCTTGACCCTGGCCTCCCAGCTTTGTTAGAACCTCTCCTCTGCCCACCTGCCCACGCCTACCTGTCCCGTATCTCCTGGGCCAGCAGCTGCAGGCAGCGGGTGGTTCGGGCCCGTTGCATCTCCGCGCCATCCCTCAGTGTCTTCTGCAGCCCCTGCAGGCCTTGGGCCAGGGCTCCATATAGCTCTTGTCGGCCCTGCTCAGTGCTACCGCTCTCCTTCTTTCCTTGGCGGCTTGTGGGGTTCAACACCTCTGAAGAGAGGATGGGGATATTAATTTTCTTTTACTTTAGTGCCTGGGTGTATGTGATGTGTGTACATGTTTGTGTGTGCACCAGTTCAGATGCACATGGGTAGATGTGCATACAGAGGCCAGTGGTCAACATTGCCTGTCTTCCTCAATTGCACCTACTTTTTTTTTTTTTTTTTTTTTTTTTTTTAATTTTTGGTCTTTTTGAGGCAGGGTCTCCCTGTAGCCCTAGCAGGCTTGGAACTCACTATGTAGACCAGGCTGGCCTTGAACTCACATACAGTCGCCTGCCTCTGCCTCCCCAGTGCAGGGATTAAAGGCCTGTGCCACCACACCCAGCTACTTTATCTTTATTATCTTTTCTTTTTGAGACAGGGGCTCCCTGGAACTCACTATGTAGACAAGGCTGGCCTCGATCTCACAGAGGTCAGTCTGCCTCTACCTCCCAAGTGCTAAAATGGGATTAAAATTGTGCATTACCATGTCCAACTTTTTGTTCTTACTGTTGTTTGGGAAAGGGAGACATTGCTTTTTTGTTTTTAATTTTTATTTTATGTATTTGAGTGTTTACCTGCACTTACAGTGCAATATATGCATGCAATGCCCTTGGAGACCAGAAGAGGGTACTGGATCCCCTGGAACTGGAGTTACAGACTTCATGTGGACCATGAGAGTACTGGGAATCAAACCCAGGTCTTCTGAAAACGCAGCCAGTGCTGAGCCATCTATCTAGCCCTTTAAATTTGTTTTTTGTTTTTGTTTTTGTTTTTGTTTTTTTTTCCAGATAGGCTTACTAGCCCAGGGTGGTCTCCAACTTCTCATACAGCTGAAGAAAACCTTGAACACCTGATCCTCTGACATCTGAGTCCCAGTGGCTTTGTGTATGCTAGGCAAGCACTCTACCAACTGAGCCACATCCCAAACCCCAAGTAGGCTGGAACTGGATGCAGGCCAGTTTTGAGTCCAGTTTTCTCTAACCCCTGACCAGACTTTGGCCTCGAGCTCATTTTTTTTTTGTTTTTTTTTTTTTGTTTTTTTTTGTTTGTTTTTGTTTTGTTTTTTGAGACAGGGTCTCCCCATAGCCCCAGCTGTCCTGGAACTCACTATGTAGACCAGGCTGGCCTTGAACTCACAGATATCCACCTGCCTCTGCCTCACGAGTGCTGGAATTAAAGGCATGCGCCACCACGCCCCGCAAGCTCATATATTTTTTAATTTAAAAAATTTTTTTAATTAAGGGGGCTGGAGAGATGGCTCAGCAGCTAAGAACACTGAATGTTCTTGCAGAAGACCCGGGCTTGAATCCAAGCACCCACATGACAGCTAACAACTGTCTGTAACTCCAGTTCCAGGGGATCAGACAGCCTCTTCTGTCCTCCATGGTCATTGCACAACACGGGTGCACTTACCTACATGCAGACAATACACACATGCACATAAAAAAATTTTTTTAATTAAAAAAATTTAATTGTATGTGTTCTGCCTGCATATATGTAAGTGCAAATGTGTGTGAAATGCCTGTGGAGGCCAGATGAGGGTGTCAGATCCCCTGGAATGAAAGTGAATCTGTTAACTGCCATGTGGGTGCTGGGAACTAAATCTGGGTCTTCTGCAAGAAAAGCCAGTGCTCTTAACTGTGGAGCCAGCTCTCCAGCCCTGGAATTCATAAGTTCATCCTGTCATGCCATGCTTACCCTGACCTTGCCCTCAGTCTAGTCCTCACCTTCAAGCTGCTGGATCTTGATCTGCTGAAGGCAGCTCTCCTTCTCCAGCATGGTCATGGAGTGGTTCAGGAACTCGAAAGCCTGGAGGAGTGATAGGTCAGGTCATGGGGTAAAGAGTAAGGTGAGAACAGGGGTAAAAAGTGGCTGCTGAGGAGATGGGGGAGGAGCACCTTGGTCTGAGCCTGCAGTTGGCTCTTGAGTGACTCCAGTTCGCTTTGCAAGAGCTTCTGAGAATCAGGAATGGTGTTCTTGACTGTGGGCAGAGGCAAAGGTGAGCCAAGGCTGGGCAAGAACAAGATGGAATTGAGGGGGAAAGTTAGAGGAGGGGGAGGAGAGATCCCTACAACACCCAGAAGCAGTTAATGAACATGATCAGTGATACTGGGGAAGAGAAGTCGGGGGCCTGCAAGGTGGCTTAGAGGATAAAGGCCCTGGCTACCAAGACTTGAATTCGATCCTAGGGGACTCACATAGTGGAAGGAGAGAACCGACTCTCATAAGTTGTCCTTTGACCTCTACAAGTGTGCTATGGTTTCTCTCTCTCTCTCTCCTCTCTCTCTCCTCTCTCTCTCTCTCTCTCTCTCTCTCTCTTTCTCTCTCTCTCTCTCTCATACACAAATTAAATAAATAAACATAAATTTAAAAAACATTAAATCTGGGCATGGTAGTGCACGTCTTTAATCCCAGCACTTGGGAAGCAGAGGCAGGTGGATCTTTGGGAGTTTGAGGCCAGCCTGGTCTACATAGCAAGTTCAGGCCAGCTGAGGCTACAGGGAGACCTTTTCTCAAAAAGACCAAAAAAAAAATTTTTTTTTTAAGTAAGTGGAGGTAGCTGGGCATGGTACATGCCTTTAATTCCAGCATTCAGGAGGCTGAGCCAGAAAGATCTCTGTGAGTTCAAGGCCTATCTGCTCTACATAGTGAGTTCCAGGACAGCCAGGGCTACATAGTAAGACCTTGTCTCAAAAACAAACAAATAGGCAGGAGAGATGGCTGAACAGTTAAGAGCACTGACTGCTCTTGCAAAGGATACCTGTTAGGTTCCCAGCACCCACATGGTGGCTAACAACCATGGTAACTCCAGTTCCAGAGGATCCAATGCCCTCTTCTGGCCTCTGCAAACATTGTACACACCATATTATGCATTTACATATATGTAGGTAAAACACTCATACATATAAAACAAATTTTTTTTAAAAATTAGGGGCTGGAGAGATGACTCAACTGGCTGCTCTTGCAAAGGATCCAAGTTCAATTCCCAGCACCCACATGGTGGCTAACAACCTTCTGTAACTCCAGTTCCAGAGGATCTGGCACCCTTTTCGGACCTCTGAGGGCATTGCGCAACATCAGTACATTTACATATATCCAGGCAATACACTCATACTCAAAAAGTAAAAATAATAAATAAAATAAAGTATTTAAAGTATTAAACAATGTAAGTGGAGGTAGGCACTGGAATGTCTCCCCTCCATGGTCTCCTTGTGAAAAAAATACTTACCTTTTACTTTGGAAGAACCAGACTCCAAGGACTTCTGGAGAAAGGGGACAAAAGAAGATTGGAAATTTTATCCCTAGATTGTTTGCTTTGACCCAGCTTTGGAGGGTAGAACAAAAGTGGTTCTCCTGAGCCCTGGATATCTCAAATCAAGAGTGCAGGCAAAGTATCCAGGTGCATTCATGAACCACCCCTACCCCCAATCTCACCATCTGCACATGCTTAGAAGCATACGTGTGTGGTTCCTTCCATGTTTGTGGGCCTCTGGCTTGACCGACTAAAAGCAGTACCTACAATGAATGCCATCAGTGCTTGACACACAACCAGTCACATGAACACACAATTTTAGATGCAGTTATGACTTTCACACACCCAACCACAACCATACAGACATATAAACAAAGATACACCCAAGAAAACAAAAAACAAACAAAAAAATCAAACTTGGGAGCTGGAGAGATGACTCATCAGTTAGGAGCACACACTGCTCTTACAGAGAACCAAAATTTTCCCAGTACCGATGTTGGGTGGTTCACAACCACTTAAAACTCCAGTTCCAAGGGAACAGACACCTTTTTTTGGCTTCCACAGGCACTGTGCTCATGTGTACAAGTATATATACACATAGACACTATTTAAAACATTCAGGGGGGCTGGAGAACAGTTAAGAACATTGGCTGCTTTTGTAGAGGACCTGGGTTCAGTTCCCACCATCCACATGGTTAACAACCATCTTATTATAACTCCAGTTCCACCAGGTGTGGTGGCACAGACCTTTAATCCCAGCACTCAGGAGACAGAGGAATTTGGATCACTGTGAGATTGAGGCCAGCCTGGTCTATATAGTGAGTTCCAGCCAGCTGGTGCTACAGGGGGACTCTATCTCAAAACAAAACCACCACCAACAACAACAACAACAGCAACAAAAAAAAACATAACTCCAGTTCCAGGTATCCAAAACCCTCTTCTGGCCTCTTAGAGCATTGCATGCAGGTGACATACATGCAAACAAAACACATATACATAAAATTTTTTAAAAATCAGGCATGGTGTTATGTGCGTGTAATCCCATAACTTGGAACATGGAATCAGGAGGAACAGTTGAAGGCTAGCTTTGGCTACATATCAAGTATAGAGCCAGCTTGGGCTACAAGAGACAGTCTCAAAACAAACAAACAACAGATACCCAAGGGGCAGGACACTGTGGCACATGCCTTCAGTCCAAGCACTTGGGAAGCAGAGGCAGGCAGATCCCTGTGAGTTCGAGGCCAGCCTGGTCTACATAGTGAGTTCCAGGACAGTCAGGGCTATATAGTAAGATCCTGTCTCAAAAAACAAAGACACACAAACGGCATTCCTTCCTCCTTCTAGAGCACCAGAGAGGGTATTGTCCTAGGTGTTGCTGGTGTTGTCCTAGGTGTTGCAACTTGAAAGCAGGTCTCCTGACCTACAACCCCTTCTCTCTGCTCTATGGAGGCAGAGAGCAATTGGATTTCTGGTTAATGAGAGTTCCTCGGGTGGCGGCAACCTTGGCTGTGCTGTGGCGCTTCTTCACCAGGTCCTGGTCATGATAAGGTCCCTTTTGCAGGTCTGGGCTGGAATAAGAAGTAGCCTCATGTGGCTGAGACGCCTCGTCCCACTCTGACCCCAAGTCCAGAAGCCTTGCAACTTGCTCAGAGGTGGCAGGTTCCCTGATCTCTGGCTCCAAGATCCCGCTCCACCTCATCATACAGTCCAAAGACCTATCTGAAGAGGAACCTGGGGACCGGGGATAGAGTGAGGAAGAGTTTCCTTTAAGGGACAAATCACAACAAGCTGGTGCTTGCTATCCCTTCCTAGCCCTCCATTCCATAAGCCAGACCTCCAAGAACACCAGTAACTTGCCCCTCTTCTTGTTTGCAGGCCAAGATGTGATGGAGAGAGGGAGCGGTGAGCAGAGATGGATACACAGTCGTCAGGGTCCCGGGGTAGGCAACTAAAAGAGGGTTGCTGCAGACAGAAGAGGGGGATGAGAGGGGTTTTTGAGATCAGCCTTTAAGTCCAAATCCTTTTGTTTTGTTTGTTTTATAACTGATTTTTATTCATGTATATGAGTGTTTTGCTTGCATGTATGTAACTACATCATGTGCATGCAATGCCTATGGAGGCCAGAAGGGGGTGTCAGATCCCCTCGAACTAGAGTTACAGATGGTTGTTAGCTGCCATGTGGGTGCTAGGAACTGAACCCAGGTCCTCTGCAAGAGCATCCAGTGCTCTTAACCACTGAGTCATCTCTCCATCTCTGTTTTGGTTTTGGTTTTGAGATAGGGTCTCCCTGCATAACTCAGTCTGGGCTGGAACTTGCTATGTAGGCCAGACTGAACTCAATTTTACAGAGATCCACCTGCCTCTGCCTTCCAAGTGCTGGGACTAAAGACATGCATCACTATACTCGGCCTTTATTTACTTATTTACTTATTTATTACACACATTATATATAATTTACTATTATTTAATATATAATAGTATATATAATTATATATTATTATATATTTATTTATAGACTTATATTTATTTACTTGTTTATTGGCAAACAGAATACAACCATACTGTTTACAAAGAAGTTATCTGGTGAAAAAATATCACAGATTCCTTTTCACTATTAAGTAAGAATATTTTGTAGCCAGGCGTGGTGGTGCACGACTTTAGTCCCAGCACTCAGAAGGCAGAGGCAGGTGGATCTCTGTGAGTCCAAGACTAGCCTGGTCTCCATAGAGAGTTCCAGGTCAGCTGGGGCTATAGGAAAACTCTGTCTCAAAAAAAAAAAAAAAGAATATTTTGTAAATTACTTCTTTCAAGGTGTTAAAGAAGACGGACTATCACACTACTCATTACTGTGTTTTCTTAGTAAACATGGTTCTTTCTGTTTGGCAATAAATTAATTTTTCTATTTCAGGACAGAGGCTGGTAGCACCGAATCTGTTTTACTTGCATGCATTGCTTCCATTCACTCCTTCAAGAGCCCCAGCAGAAGGTGCTGTTTTAGATGCTGGAATAGGTTTCCTTCCTTATGCCCTACAGTGGCAGACAGATAGTTCCTGAGTAGGGGTAACAGAGTCTCATGTAGCCCAGGCAGGCCTCCAACTCTATGTGGCCAAGGATGGCCTTGAACTCCTGATCCTCCAGTTCCCACCTCCCCCATACTTGGATGACAGGCATGCACCACCACATCCAGTCTATGCAGTGCTGGGGATAGAACCCAGGGCTTTGAGCTTTTGAGCATGCTAGGCAACTGCTCTACCAACTGAGCCCAGCCCCAGCCCTCTAACTGCTTTAGAGTCTCACCAAAGGGATCCCTCAGAGATACTTCAGCATAGAAAGTTCTCAAAAAGACAAAAAAAAAAAAAAAAAAAGGAAAGAAGGAAAGAAAGTTCTCAGTGGTGATATGAGCCAAAGTCAGATGAAAGATGAATCCAACCTCAGAGATAGAGCTGAGTAATAAGATTCCAGAAGACCCCACATAAAGACATAAGGCGTTGCTGGGCAGGGAGGCACAACGCCTTTAACCCCAGCACTTGGGGGGCAGAGGCAGGTGGATCTCTGTGAGTTCCAGGCTAGTCTGGTCTACATAGCAAGTTTCAGGCAAGCTGGGGCCACAGAGAGCCCATCTAACAAAAATACATAAATAAGCCGGGCATGGTGGTGCATGCCTTTAATCCCAGCACTTGGAGGGCAGAGGCAGGTGAATCTCTGTGAGTTCAAGGCCAGCCTTGGAGCTGTGAGTTCCAGGCCAGCTGGAGCTACAGGGAGACCCTATCTCAAAAAAGACCAAATAAATAAATAAATACATAAAATAAACAAATAATAAATAAAAACGACTTTCTGCTGGTCAGCTCAGGATGACTGAAGGTGGGTGGGTGAGCAAGTAGCGGAGGTCAGTAGGCCAGTTCAAATGAAGCTTGGAGGCCAAGCACAAGAGCTTTTGTCTGGCACTGCAGGTACAGGGGATCTGTAGAGTATGAGCAGGAGAGACAGGGAATATCTGTCCAATAAAGCTATTAAACCATCTCAGGCCTGTGCTGGGCAAGTCAGGGAAAAAGAAATAGCTCAGCTCTGCATCTCACACACATATCTTCTCCCCCTCCTGTGAAGTCAGAATTAGCACAGATGGAGAATCTGGGCCAGGCCTGCCTTGAAAACCTCCAGGTAAAGGGCATCTCAAATCTCTAGAATTCTCTACCTGGTACCCTTTTTGTGTCTCAGAATTCATGGAAGACTCCTACAACCCTTCAGAACCCTACTCAGGGGGCTGAAGAGATGGTTCAGTGGGTAAGATCTCTTGCTATACTGTACAAGCATGAGAACCTGAGCACCACAGAAAAAGCCAGGTGTGATCATGTGCATCTGCAACCCCAGGACTGTGGAGGAAGGAGGCAGGCCTCCCAGCCTAGCTGACCAGGCAGCCTAGTTGCAGGTTCAGTGAGAGACCCTGATTCAAAGGAGTAAAGTGGAGAGTGATAGAGCAATCTCTCCCTCTGGCCTCTGAACCCACAGGCAGGTGCACCTGCATACACACTTCTGCATAGCCACACAAAAACAATTTAAAAAATTAAAAATGAATAAAAATACTACTAATAAAAAATTTTAATCCCTACTCAGCACATTCTCTGACAAAATATTTTTTTTCTGGTGCAGAGGATGGTGCCTGAGGCAAATGCTCTACTACTGAGCCATACCCCATGCTACAAATCTTTCCTAATCAACCCACACCCCCTTGGGTTTTTTTTGGGGGGGGTGCTTTTTGAGACAGAGTCTCCCTGTAGCCCCAGCTGGCCTCAACTCACTATGGAGACCAGGCTGGCCTCGAATTCACAGAGATCAGCCTGCCTCGGCCTCCCGAGTGCTGGGATTAAAGGCCTTCACTAAAATGCCCAGTCATCACACACACACACACACACACACTTTTTTTTTTTGAGGCAGTGTCTGAGTATCCCTGGCTGACCTGGAACTCACTCTGTAGACCAGGCTGGCCTCAAATTCACAGAGATCTACTTGCCTCTGCCTTCTGAGTGGCAGGATTAGAGACATATACCACCACGGGAATCCCTCCTCAGCCCTTTAAAAAAATAATTATATGTGTATTTTTTTGGGGGGAGGTATACATCCCACAGCCTATGTGTGGAGGTTAGGGGAACACTTTCAGGAACGGGTTCTTGTCTTGCACCATGTGGGTCCTGGGGACTGAACTCAGGTTGTTCAGGCTTGACTGCAAGCACTTGCACCTAATGAGCCATCTCATCAGCCCTGCAGTGCTCACTGCACATTCACACCAACTCATTCAGCTCTGAGCAGCAGCAGAGCATCATGGATAAGGGAGGAGACTCCCCAGCCGGATAGCCCGAGTTCATATCCTCTCTCTGCCTTCCAAGTTTGAGAAGGGTTCCTAAATTTTATGCGCTAGTCTCCTGAACCATTACAAACGAGATATTAGGCAGGGCATCATGATGCTCCCCTCTAATTCTAGCACTCAGGGGGCAGAGGCAGGCAAATCTTTGTGAGTTTGAGGCCAGCCTGGCCTACAGAGGGAGTTCCAGGCTGGCCTGGTATACATAGTAAATTCCAGGCCAGCTGGGGCTACATAATGAGACTGGCCTCAAAAAAAAAGGGGGAGGGGACGGGAATGGAGAGATGGCTCAGGGTTTAAGAGCATGTACTGCTCTTCCAGAGAATTTGAATTAAATTCCCAACAACAACATCAAGCAGGTGACTGACTGACAATCATCTATGTAATTCCAGCTCCACAGAACCCTCTGGCTTCTGTGTGCTCTAGTCCTAGTACACATACGTACACACACATCTCTCCAGCCCCATAAAATAAAATAAATCTAAAAAAAAATTAAAAACTGTAAAAGAAAGGGATATTATGTATTTTACTGGGTTCAGATTACTGATTACACTGCTTGGTAAATGAGAGTGGAAGCTAGAATTGTTCTAGAATGTGATATTCTCGAGGCTCCAAGGCCCTGGAAGGGTTAGAGGGGAAAAGAAAAAAAGGTATTTCAGAGTTTCAACTGAGGTACCTGAGCTCCCCGTCTCTGCTCAGTTGAATCTTCTGCTGTCACCTCCCGGGAGAATTCTTTAGGGGAGAGGGAGGGGTCATCGCCCTGAGCACCGCCCCCTGGCCTGTCAATCTCTCGACACCCTCTTCTAATCCTACCTACCACATACGACCTGTTCAGGCTCTCCCATCAGGGACCGCGAAGCCAGGACCCAGCTATGACGCGGAAGTTTTGATCCCAAGCGGATACCATCATAGGAAAAAACGCTGGGAGGCCAAAGGTGGAGTCACAGAAACGGGCGTGGCCTGCAGGTAAGCCCCGCCCCTCAAAGGTTTAGTGGCAGAGTTCATGGACGCCTGAGTATCCGCGGAGTTATTGGATGAAATTGGGGGGCGGGAAACGATGTGTCAGGATGGTCTTTAAGAAGCGACTGGTCAATCTTTAAGGGGCGGGGATGAATGAGGCAAATCTGTGAGTTGATTGGCTGAGCCTGGGCTAAGAGGCAGGGCGAGAGCTGGGTGTGCGGAAAGAGACCTGCGCGGACCCACTCTTAGGAGGGAGTGTGCCCTGAGCTGTGCCCGGGTGGCCTGGGTTCTTGTGTCTCCAACGCCGTGAGCTAGGGTGCTCCAACGGTGGGGTCGGCATGCGATTTGGGGGTCGGATGGGGGCCCCTGGGGGTGCTTTGGAGTGGTCCTAAGATATCTCGGGTTCCCAGATGAGAGCTTTTGTCTGTCTGCACTGGACCCCTGGGGTGAGCTTTGACAGTCACCCATGATCACCAGTCACCACGGGATGTGGACTTGAGCTGCTGGAGTTCAAAATTTTTGCGGAGGCCTGTAAAGTGCAGTGAATATTGGGGCTTAGAGAGAGCCTGAGATTTATTTTTCTAGCTTTTTTTTTTTTTTTTTTTTTGAGACAGTCTTGTTGTGTATCTGAGGCTGGCCTGCAGCTTCCTACGAATACAGGGTGGCCTTGAACTTCTGAACCCCCCTGCCCCCACTTCCCCATTGCTTGGATGACCCACGTGCACCACCATGCCTGGTTTATGCAGAGCTAGGGATGGAACCGAGTTCTTCCTGCATGCTAGGCAAGCACTCTACCAACTAAGCCGCATCCTCATCTGGGGCCTGAGTTTTGTTTTCGGGGACTCCCTGTAGCCCCAGCTGTCCTGGAACTCACCATGTAGACCAGGCTGGCCTTGAACTCACAGAGATCCCTCTGCCTCTGCCTCCCAAGTGCTGGAACTACAGGCGTGTGCCACCACACCCGGCTGAGTTTTGTTTTTTTTAAAAAAACAGTCTCACTCTAGCTCAGCTGATCTCAAACTCATAGCCATCCTCCCACCTCAGCCTTCCATGTGCTGGTATTACAAGTGTGAATCACCATGCCAACCTACGAAAGTTTTTTTTTTTTTTGATACTCTAGCCCAGGCTGACCTAGAACTCAGTATGTATTTTGGGCTAGCCTCAATCTTGTAGCAAGTTTTTCCTGGAGCTCTGCTGCAGTGTTGATCCTGGCCCTGGGCACTGGAGGCAAAGGTTGAAGGTTAGGCTGAGTCACTGGTTCCTCCTTCTCAGGGCTGCAAGATGGAGGAAGATGGTGTCCCAGGAGGCCTGATTAAGGTGGTCCACCTGATGGTCTTGTCTGGTGCCTGGGGCATGCAGATGTGGGTGACCTTCGCCTCAGGTAGAGACCCTTGACCCCTGCTTGTGGTGGGACAGAAGTGGGACCCAGGAGTGTCCTAACAGCTATGTGTGGTTTTCACCCCCCAGGCTTCCTGCTCTTCCGGAGCCTTCCCCGACATACCTTTGGGCTTGTGCAGAGCAAACTCTTCCCTGTGTACTTTCACGTCTCCTTGGGCTGCGCCTTCACCAACCTCTGCATCTTGGCTCCACAGCGTGCATGGATCCACCTCACATTCTGGGAGGCCAGTCAGGTATGAGGCCTCAGGTGCCACCATGCTCTGCAGGGTTGTCTTCAAGACTCCAGGGACCACCTATGAGGACACCGTTTCTTTTTATTTATTTATTTCTATGTGTGTAGTGTATGTATGTCTGTGTGTACATTGTGTAGTGTATGTATGTCTATGTATGTACATAGTGTATGTAGTGTATGTCTATGTGTGTACATAGTGTGTAGTGTGTGTATGTGTGTATGTAGTGTGTGTAGTGTATGTATGTCTATGTGTGTATATAGTGTGTGTAGTGTATGTCTATGTGTGTACATAGTGTGTGTAGTGTATGTATATGTATGTATGTAGTGTAGTGTATGTATGTCTATGTGTGTACATAGTGTGTGTACGTCTATGTGTGTACATAGTGTGTAGTGTGTGTATGTGTGTATGTAGTGTGTGTAGTGTATGTATGTCTATGTGTGTACATAGTGTGTGTAGTGTATGTATGTCTATGTATGTACATAGTATGTGTAGTGTATGTATGTCTATGTGTGTACATAGCGTGTATAGAGGCCTGAGGATAATATCAGGTGTTTTCCTCTATCACTGTCTTATTTATTTAGACAGGGTCTCCAAAAGAACCTAGAGCTCTCTGATTCAACTAGGCGGGCTGGCCAGCAAGCTCCAGGGATCCTCCCATGTCCCCAGCACTGGGATTAAGAACTACCATGCTTGACTTTTTACATAGACACCTGGAAATTGAGCTCAGGTCCTCATGCTTGCATGGTGAACACTTTACTGACTGAGCCATCTTCCCAGCCCCTCATTTTATTATTTTTCACAGTGCTGGGGAAGGAAGTCAGGGCCATGCACATGCTAGGTAGGCACTCTTCCACTGAGCTATAATACCAGCCCAGGTGACAACTTTTGATCCCTGTAGAGTTTTTGTTTAGTTTTTTGTTTGTTTGTTTGAGACAGGGTCTCCCTGTAGCCCCAGCTGGCCTGGAACTTGCTTTCTAAGACCAAGATGGCCTTACTGGGTGTGGTGGTGAAGGACTTTAATCCCAGCACTCTGAAGGTAGAGGCAGGCATATCTCTGAGTTCAAGGCCAGCCTGGTCTCCATAGTGATAGTGAGTTCCAGGCCACCTGGGGCTACTGGGAGACTCTGTCTGAAAAAAAAAACAAAAAAAACCCCAACAATAAAAAAAAGACTAAGATGGCCTTGAACTCTCACAGAGACCTACCTGAGTGCTGGATTAAAGGTGTACACCACCACTCTAGTGTTGGAGGGGGTTTGTTGTTTTTATTGTTTTGTTTTTCTTAAGACAGAGACTTGCATTCAGCATGTGGAGGATGATTTTTTAACTTCTGATTCTCCTGTCTCCATCTCCTGTGTGCTGAGATCACTGGCCTGACCATGATACACAGTTTTATGCATGGCTAGGGGTTGAACCCAGAGCTTCGTGTACACCAGGCAAGCACTCTTTCAACTCAGCTATGTCACCAGACCTCAAGTGACATCTTTTTTTAAAGTGTTTTATTTATTTATTTTGAGACAGACTATCCAGGCTAGACTGGAACTCACTATGTAGACCACAGAGATCTGCCTGCCTCTGCCTCCCAAGTGCTAGGATTAAAAGCATGCACCACCACCATGCTTGGCATGACATCTTTTTGAGAAAGAGAAAAAAATACCTCTTATACCTGGTAGAGACAGAGCTGAGCACTTGGTATCTTTGAGCAGTGCACAACCTGCACAACTCTCTGCAACAGCCGTCTCTGTGCACTCCTATCTCCTCCATTGGCTCCTGCTTCCTCTCTTCCTAATACCCAGGCCTTCTGCCAAGTTGTAGTGAGTCAGCTGAGCTACCGTGCTGACCCAGTTCATTGTTTAAAAGGTAGCCTAACTGGGAATTTAGGGTGTTCCCTACCATAGAGTAAAGAACCATGGTTACATCTCAAATTTCTCCACCCTGCTCTCTGCTCTTGTACTCCTTGGTGGGTGGGTGAAGCCTGACAAGTCTTTCAAGAATAATCTCCCAGCCAGATGAGGTAGCACACACCTGTCTTCTCAAGACTTAGGAGGCTGAGCCAGGAAGATTGAGTGAGATCTAGGCCAGCCTGGGCTGAAGAGTGAGACCCTATCTCAAAAACGAAAACAAGCAAGGCTATGTGGCGGTGCACACCATAATCCCAGCACTTGGGAGGTAAGGGCAGGAGGAGTAGGAGTTCAAGACCAGCCTCAGCTAAGTGAAGAGTTTGAGACCAGCCTGAGCTCCATGAGATCCTGTCTTAACCTGCTCCCCTCAAAAGACTAATCTCTTAATGACAGAAAGGATTGTGGGTAACTGGCATTTACCAAGCATTTGATTCATTTCCTATGGGCCCCTTGCCAGGTCCTGAGATCTGAGGTCTGACATAGGCCCTATTTTAGGCTGCTTGCATTAGGGGGACATGAGGGGGAAATTATGGTTATCTTAATTTTGGGGAGAGAAGATGAACAGGCCTGTCTTCCCAGCTATTTGGGAGACTGAGGCAGGAAGACTCCAAGTTCAAGGGCTGCCTGGGCTACATAGTGAGTTCAAGGTTTGCCTAGGCTATAGAGTGAGTTCCTTTCCAGCCTGAGCAACTTAGTGAGACCCTGTCTCCATGTAAAAAGAGGAGCTGGGGTGATATCTTGTCAGTAAAGTGCTTGCTATGCAAGCATGAAGACCTGAATTTGAATCCCCAGTGCCATATAAAAGCCAAGCACAGAGGTGCAAGACTGTAACCCCAGCACTGAAGGTGGGAGTCAGAGACAGGCAAGCTCCTGAGGCTCACTGGCCAGCCAGCCTAGCTGAATGGAGGAACTCCAGGCAGTGAGAGACCCTGTCTCAAAAAATTACATGGAGGCTGACTGTGGTAGTACACTTTTAATCCCAGCACTCAGGAAGCCAGGCAGGAGAATCTTTTGTGAGATCAAGCCCAGACTGGTTTATATGGAGAGTTCCAAGCCAGCTAGGGCTACAGGGACACCCTGTGTCAAATACAAAAATAAATAATAAATAAATGAATAAATAAATAAATAAATAATAAAAGATGGAGGGCTGGCAAGATGATTCAGCAAGTAAAGGCACTTACTACCAAGTTTGTCGAGGACCTGAGTTTGATCTCTGTGAACTACATGATAGAAGGGAGCAAACTGTCTCCTGCACGTTTCCTTGGACCTCCACATGTGTGCCTTGGCATATACATTCACATTAAATCCAAATAACTAAGTACAATCTAAAAATTAAAACATAGGACTAGAGTGATGGTGGCTCAGGGGTTACTCTTCCAAAGGACCCAAGTTCAATTCCCAATACATGTCAGGTAACTTACAAACTGCCTGTAACTTCAGCTCCTAGACACACATGGATATAGTCACCTACAGACACGTAGACACACATACATAATTAAAACATAAAAATAATCTTTTAAAAATACTTTATTATTTTTATTTTATCTGTATGAGTGTTTTGCCTGCATACAAATGCATCACATGCATGCAATGCCCAGGAAGGCCAGAAGAGGGTGTCATGATATCCTGGAACTGGAGTTACAGACAGTTGTTAGCCTTCACGTGGGTGTTAGGATCCTCTGCATGAGCAGCCAGTCCTCTTAACTGTTGAGCTCTCGCTCCAGCCCAGTAAATCTTAAAATTTTGTTTTGTTTTGTTTTGCTTTGTTTTGTTTTGGAGAAGAGAGGTTCTGTTCTCAGGGAACATGGGGGGAGACCAGACCCCACCCTAAGTCTTAGATTGAGCTTTTCCTTAGCAGGTACTAGTTTGAGGCTCCACTTTGGGGCTCCCCAACCTGGGTTTAGGAAACCCTTGGGGCTGTGAGGATGCAGGTCCACCCTGGTCCGTTGGTCCTCCCTGCCTCAGACTCTCTCACCTAGTCCTTATCCCCTACCCCATCCCTCCCCTCAGCTGGCCCTGCTGCTCCTGAGTCTCACCCTGGCTACCATCAATGCACGCTGGCTGGAGGCCCGAACCACAGCTGCCATGTGGGCCCTGCAAGCTGCAGAGAAGGAGAGGGGCCTGGGAACAGAAGTGCCAGGCAGCAATCAGGGCCCTGACCCCTACCGCCATCTGCGGGAGAAGGACCCCAAGTACAGTGCTCTGCGTCAGAAGTTCTTCCACTACCATGGCCTGTCTTCCCTCTGTAATCTAGGCTGCCTGCTGAGCAATGGGCTCTGCCTTGCAGGCCTTGCTCTGGGGCTACGCAGCCTCTAGTACACATCTTGTATGTGTATCAATAAATGCTTTTTTGTTGAGGCCTGTGGGTTTTTTTTCCACCCCAGATGCCAGGTAATGGGTGTCTGTCGGTCTGTGTCTGTGTGTGTGCGTATTTGCAGGGTAGCACTCAGACCCTCTGTTTCCCCATTCCATGATGCTTTGGAGTGTGGGCGGTTGCAGCCCCAGCCTTTCTCCTATAATACTGCCCATTTATTGAGCACTTTCTGTATGCCTGGCAGGTGCTGGTCTGACCCCTTAGACAAAGTAGTCCCACCTACTGACATTGGACATGGCACTGTGACTTGCTTTGGCATATGTCCCTTCCAAGAAAGAGAGCCAGCTGCATTTCCCCCTTTTTCATAGCCAGCAAACCTAGGTGATGGGATGTCATGGTGACTTTGCGGGCTGCTTGTTACTGAGCATAACCCAGCTCTTCCTCACTAATGCACTTCAGCTCAGTTTGTCCATGTTGGAGCTTTGAAGGTAGCTCTTGTTTCACTAACAGCATCTGGATGAACAGAGAAATTTAGATTTCTGTATATCTGTGTGACTGTGTATGTTTCCTTTTTTGAAACTTGGTCTCCCTTGTAGCTCCAAGTGACCTAACTTTCTATGTAGGCCTTGAACTCACAGAGATCCTCCTGTTTCTGCCTCCTGAGTTCTGGGATTAAAGGTGTATACCACCTGCTACTCTCATTTTTTAAATTATATGTGTGAATGTTTTGCTTGCATGTATGTGCACCCATGTCATGCATTGTCTGTGGAGGCCAGAAGACAGCTTTGGATTTCCTGGAACTGAATTTATGGACATTGTTAGTCACCATGTGGGTGCTGGGAACCAAACCCAGGTCCTCTGGAAGAGTAGTCACTGCTCTTACCATCTGAGCCATCGCTCCAGGCTCCCCTCACCTACCTTTTTGAGACAGGGTCTCACATAGTTCAGGCTGGTCTCAACTTTGAACTCCTGAATCTCCGCCTGCCTCCACCTCCCAAGTGCTGGGATTACAGGTGTGAGCTACTGTGTGTGTGTGTGTGTGTGTGTGTGTGTGTGTGTGTGTTTTGTGTGTGTGTGTGTGTGTGCGTGATGCAAAAGTCGGAGGACAACTTATGGGAGTTGATTCTTCTACCGTTTGGGTTTCTTGGATCATACTCAGGTCATCATATTTGGTGGCAGGCAACAAGTGCCTTTACCAGCTGAGCCATCTCACAGGGCACCTCTATTTTTTTTTTTTTTTTTTTGAATGTCAAATCTTGCTGTATGGCCTTGGGCAAATACTTGCCCTTTTTTGAGCCTCCGCGTTATTTTTAAAAGGTTTATTCTCGGCCACATATCGAGTTTGAGGCAAGCCTGAGCTAAACGAGACCCTGTCTCAAAACAAAAACATCGGTACACAATTCTGTGAAGTTGGATACTCTTGCTAGGAACCACTTCATAGATGGGAAATTGAGGCCCAGAGGTTAAATATATCCAGAGTCACAAGACTGCAAAATGGAGGTGGGATTTGAACCCATTGAGCCCATTCTCTTAAGCAATTTTCTACCTTTATTTATTTTCTTAGTTAAGAAGAGGCTGCAGCAAGACTCCTAGTGCCTTTCCAGCCCCTCCCGCCCGCTATCCACAAGCTCCGCCCTGCCGGCCCCGATTTCTAAGGGCCTACTAGCCTACTGGTCTAGGCCTACAGCTAGGCGCACCTCCAGCCTCCCGCAGCGGCCTGCACGCCCAGGCCCCGCCCACCTCACGGTTCAGTCTTTAGGGGCGGTCTCTCCAGGCCCCGCTCACCTCCCCGGCTCAGTCTTTAGGGGCGGGCTCTCCACGCCCAGGCCCTGCCCACCTCCCCGGCTCAGTCTTTGGGGACAGTCGCTCCACGTCTGGGCCCCGCCCATCGCGGGGCTCCGGCCCCTCCTCCCACCGCTAGTCCTCTGCGGTTAGGACCCCACCACCACTAGGTTCTGGCCCGCCTCCCCGCGGTGCACGGCCGCTAGTACCCGCCTACCGCCTACCGCTCTTTTCCATCTCTAGCAGCGGCCCTCCACAAATCCGCCTCCACCGCCAGGCCCCGCCCAGCACCCGACTCTGGTCCCGCCTCCAGCCACCCTTCCCCCGCCTGCCCTCGCCCACCTTCAGGCCCCGCCCTCAGCTCGGTTCTGGCCTTTCCTCGGCTGCTGCCTTCCACAGATAGATAGGCCGGGTCCTCCACAGATAGGACCCGCCCACCGCCACGGCCTCGCCCCTCCGCCTGGGCGGAACCCTCGGGATCCGGGTGAGTGTGCTGGAGGCGTTAGCTTGGGGTCGCGGCCAGCTCCAGGCCTCAGCGACTTGGCAGGCGGATCCGAGAGAGCGGCTGGGAGCGAGCGCAGCTGCAGGTGGGTTCCTGGGGGTCTGCAACAGGCAGGGGTCCCGCACTGGGTGCTTCGGGGCTCCTCTCTAGTTGGCTGCACCCAGTTGAGCCCACGGGCTGTGGCGGGGGGAGGAGCAGGGAGCCCATTTCGGACCGGCGGCGGGACCATATGGAGATGGGGGAGGGCCTCTGCACCAGCTGGGGAACCCCAAATCCAGTGACAAGGCACAGGTCCAAGACTTGCTGGCTCCGGGGACCTCCTGAATAGCCAGGAATAAGTGAGGCAGGTGTCCAGGAGAGGTGCGGTGGGGCGGGGGACCCAGCCTGGCAGTCCTGCCCAGCAGACGGCTTTTCTGCTCCTCCTCAAACTCGTTCTCCTGGAGCACAGGGTGGGGCTGACTAGGTTTCTCTCTGGAGATGGACGAGAAAAAAAAAAAACACCGAAGGCTGTTGAGAAATACCTTTGCCTGGCCTTCCCCTTCTGTAAGCTTCCTGTGCTGTTCACTGAGCCGCTCTAGACAGCTGGGGAAACTGAGGCTTGGAGAGGGAGAGAGGGTAGAAGGGGAGCACTGGGTGGACGAAGCAATATGCTGGAGTGTGGGCAGATATAAACAGCAGCCATGAGGTCAAGTTCCATGGTGGTAGTGGTGGTGATGAGATGGTTGAGGGTCTGAGATAATTCTCTTGGATTTGATAACTTTCATTCCTGTCTGTGTGGACCAGAGCTGGGGTGAATCGGCTTTGGCCAAAAGGGAGCCAGGCCCAGCCCGTTTGATAAATAGAATATGGCAGGTACCCACTTGGGCATTTAAACTCAGAGATTTTTCTATACAAATTCACCTCACCCTGGGAAAGGGTTAAACTGGATTTGGGGAGGGCAGACTCTAGCTAAAGTCAACATCCCGGCCCTGATGGGGGGGCCTCTGTCCAGCTGGCAGTTACCCCCTCCCAGCTCACACCTAGCTATGCCAGCTGCTTACACTGGGCAAAGTCCACACCTGCAGCCTCTGCAACTTCCTCCGCGCTCCCAAATCCACCTCCTGCTCTGAATTTTCACCTGTTTCTGACTTCTGGGGCCTCAAGACAGACCCAGAATCTTCCAAGATAAAGGCTCAATTTTGCCTTTTTTTTTTTTTTAAGACACGGTCTCATGAAGCACAGGCTAGCCTCATACTCATGTAGCTGAGGATGATGTTGAACTCCTGATCCTCCTGCTTCCACCCTCCCCACTGCTGAGATGACAGATGTGTGCCAACACAGTTGAAGTACTGGGGATGAAACCTAGGGCATCATGCATGCTAGGTGAGCACTCCACCAACTGAGCCACATCTTCTGCCCTTAAATTTGCCTTTGTGTAAAGATTCTGTATCAGCCAAAGCCCTCCCAACTGGGAGATAGGTGGCTTCCCCCAAGGGTGGGCTTTGTCCTGTCTTAGGTATAACTGTCTCCACAGAGAATATTGTTTGGTGTAGATTGTTAATGAATAAGAAAAAGTCATTAAAATGGGTGTAGTGGTGCACATCTGTAATTATGGCACTTGGAAGAAAGAGGCAGGTAGATCAGGAGTTCAAGGTCATCCTTGCCTGCATAGAAAGTTTGAGACCAGCCTGGATTACATGAGACCTTATCTCAAAGAAAATAAAATAAATTTATTGTAGCTTACTTTGGTGATGCATGCCTGTAATCCCATCACTTGATGGCAGAGGTAAGAGAATTGAGAATTAGAGGCTAGACTGGGCTACCTAGTGATGAAGTTTGGGACAAAAAAAAGAAAAAAAAAAAAAAAAAAAAAAAAAAAAAAGGCCAAATAGGGTCACTGAGATGGTTCAGGAAGTAAAGTAAAGATGCTTGTTGCCAAGCCTGATGACCTGAGTTGAGCCCCAGGACCCACATGGTGGAAAGAGAGGGCCAATTCCTGCATGTTTTCCTCTGACCTTCACATGTAATTTTAAAATTTAAAGGCAAGGGAATGGAGAAGTGATTCAACAGTTAAGAACAGTTAAAAGCCTCTTACAGAGGACCCAGGTTCAGTTCCCAGTATCCATGTGGCAACTAATAACTGGCCATAACTCCAGTTCCAGAGAATTTGATGCCCTCTTCTGGCCTCTGTGGGCATTGTACACACATAGTGCACTTAACATACATGAAGTAAAACTCATACACACACTAATAAAATTTTTTTTAATTAAATCCAAAAAAGAGGCTGGAGAGATGGCTCAGAGCTTAAGAGTACTGGCTGCTCTTGCAGAGGACCCAGGTTTGATTCCCAGCACCCACATGGCAGCTTACAACTGTCAGTAACTCCAGTTCCAGGGAATTCAACTCTTTCTTCTGACCTCTGTAGGAATTGCACAACATGGGTGCACTTACACACATGCAGGCAATACACTCATACACATAAAAATAATAAATAAATTAAATCCAAAAAAAAATTAAGCTTCCAATCAAGTGCTTTTTCAAGTAAGGTCTATGGGCCGGGTGTGGTGGTGCATGCCTTTAATCCCAGCACTGGAGAGGCAGAGGCAGGCAGATGTCTGTGACTTCAGGGCCAGTGTGGTCTATAACAAATATTCCATTTCCAGAAGAGAACATTGAAGTTCAGTGAGGAAAAAGTGATGTAATTAGAGGCAGTGGTCTTCCTACTGGCAGAGCTGGGATTTTTAACCCAGGCCAAAGCCAGCTAGATGGCTCAGCAAGTAAAGGTGCTTGCAGCCAAGCCTGACAACCTGAGTTTGAGCCCAAGAGCCACATGGTAGGAGAACCAATTCCTGAACCCAGGCCAAATGGATCCATAGGTTCTGTCCATACCCCTTGCAGGACTCCACCCTTTCCCATCTGAGGATTTCAGGTCGTTCCAAGCAATTCCTGCCAAGATGGCGCCTGCCGGAGACTCCCCTGCCAGTCCCCGGGATGCAGCAGATCAGAACTTCGACTACATGTTTAAACTGCTCTTGATTGGGAATAGCAGTGTGGGCAAGACCTCGTTCCTGTTCCGATATGCTGATGACTCTTTCACCCCCGCCTTTGTGAGCACTGTGGGCATTGATTTCAAGGTCAAGACAGTCTACCGACATGACAAGAGGATCAAACTACAGATCTGGGTGGGTTGGGCAGCCATGTGGGAGTCTGGTGGGGGGGATCAGTCTCCTAGAGTCATGAGGGCTGTAAACAGAGTTGTCAGCAGAGGAAAGGAACTTGCCCTGCCTGCCCTAGGTGATCTGTGGGGTCTGGATAGGCAGACGGTGCATATTGGAAGTGACAGTGGCCAGTGGGAAAAGGTTGGGGAGCAGGGACTCCTGTGGACACTTCCAGGTTCAGAGCTGCACCCTGTCCCCCAACCTAGCTGTGGGTATTATGATAGTAGCAAAGGGATCAGGTGGCAGATGGAGACGTTGGCCTGTGGCCCAGATGACTCTTCTCTTTGACTTTTAAGTTGGTTCTTGGAAACAAAGTCAGGACTGGGAGCCCCTCCAGGCCAGGACTGGTGAGTTAACTTGGTTCCCAGGATGTGGTTTGAAGCCCCCTGAAACTAACCAGAAAGCTGGGACTGGTGGCATGGGCCTATAATGATCCCCATCAGACTGGACTGTGAGAGCAGGACCGTGCCTTCTGCATCAGAATGTGTCATGAAGATGGGTCATGCCTCCACACAACAGACTGTGCCAGGAGGATGGGTCATGACTCCCCTATCAGACTGAACCATAAAAGCTGGGTCATTGGGGCTTGAGAGTTGGCTCAATGGTTAAGAGCTGCTCTTGCAGAGAACCCAGTTTCAGTTCCTAGCACTCACATGGTGATTAACAACTATCCATAACTCTAGTTACAGGGAACCCAATGCCTTCTTCTGGCCTCTATGGGCACTGTGTGCATGTGGTATACTTATATACATGTAGACAAAATGTTCATACACTTAAAAGTAAATATATCTTTGAAGAACCAGGTCATGTCTCTGCCATCAGACTGGGCTGTGAGAGTAGACCTGTAACCCTCTCAGAATCCTATAGGGTTGGGTAGGGAGCAGGTAACTAGCTAACTGACTGCTGCTTGCCCAGGACACAGCAGGCCAGGAGCGCTACCGGACCATCACCACAGCCTACTACCGAGGAGCCATGGGCTTCTTGCTCATGTACGACATTGCCAACCAGGAGTCCTTCTGTGCTGTACAGGATTGGTGAGTGCTAGCCAACTATTGAGGTCCTGCCGGCTTTCATTTCCTGCCCCCCCAACACTCCCAACCTCTCACAATGTTCACAACTCCACAGGGCTACACAGATAAAGACCTACTCCTGGGACAATGCTCAGGTCATCCTTGTGGGGAACAAGTGTGACCTGGAAGATGAACGGGTTGTGTCTGCTGAGGATGGCCAGAGGCTCGCCAGTGACCTTGGTTAGTGCCCAACCAGACCCACAGGCCATGGGGCTCCCAGAACCAAACCCTTGTCTTCAACCTCAGTCAAGCAGGCAGTTCTGAGAATCTGGCAGAAAAAAAACACCCATGTGTTAGGGCTGGGGGTTGGCTCAGTGGGTAAGAGGGCTTGCTGCATAGGCATGAAGTTTGAATCCCCAGCACGCATGTAAAAACTGGGCATGTCCACACATGCTCTGGTAATCCTTCCTCTGTTGAAGGCCAGAGACAGGAGGACTGCTGGCTGCCAGCCTAGCTCCAGGTTCAATGAGAGACCCTGTCTCAAGGGGATAAGGTAGAGAGAGATACAGCAGGACACCTGGTGTCCTCTGCCTCCAAAGTGGGCACCTGCACTGGTACAAACATGCACATGCACTACACATGCACACACACACACCCCCCACACCACACGCACACATACATACGCAAAAAATAAAACCCTATAAAAATACCCATGTGTAGGCTGAAGAGATAGCTCAGTGGTTAATAGCACTTCCCACACTGGCAGAGGACCCCAGTTTGGTTCTCAGCTCCCATATGAAGGGATGGCTCTGGACACTTGCATTTCAGGTGCACACATATGCACACATGCACATATACACAATTAAAAAATAAATCTTGGGGGGCTGGAGAGATGGCTTAGTGGTTAAGAACACTGACTGTTCTTGCAGAAGACCTGGGTTCAAATCCCAGCACCCACATGGCAGCAAACAAATGCCCATAACTCCAGTTCTAGGGGATCTGACAGACTCTTCTGTCCTCCTCGGACATTGCATGACACGGGTGCACTTACCTACATGCAGATATAACACTCATATACATAAAATAAAAATAATAAAATATATTTTTTTTAAATCTTGGGAGCTGGAGAAATGGCTCAGTAGTTAAAAGCGCTGGCTGCTCTTGCAGACCCAAGTTCAGGTTCCAACACTCACATGGTGGCTAACAATTGTCTGTAACTCCCAATTCCAGGAGATCTGAGGCCCTTTTCTAGCCTCTATGGGCAGTGCACACATGGGTGCACTTAAATGCATGCAAAATACTCATGCACATAAAATAAATCAAAAAAATTTTTTAAAATCTTTTCTGGGCATGGTGGTACATGTCTTTAATCCCAGCACTCAGGAGGCAGAGGCAGATGGATCTCTCTGAGTTCAAGACCAGTTTGTTCTGTATAATCAATTACAGGCCAGCCAATGAGACCCTATTTCAAAAAAACACCAAATATAATAAATAAATCTTTTTTAAAAGTACCCATGGGTGCTGAAGAGTTGGCTCAGCAGTAAAGAGCTGCTCTTGCAGAGAACCTGAGTTTGATTCCCAGCATCCATATGGCAGCCAACAACCATCCATAACTCCAGTTCCAGGGGATCAATCTCCTTCTTCTGACCTCCATGGGTATTGCACATGTGGGTGGACTTACATACATGCAAGCAAACAGTCATATGCAAAAATAAAAATAAAACAGGTGGGGCTGGAGAGATGGCTCAGCAGTTAAGAGCACTGACTGCTCTTGCAGAGGACCTGAGTTTGATTCCCAGCACCCACATGGTGGCTACAAACCGTCCTTAACTCCAGTTCCAGGGGAATCCGAAGCCCTCTTCTGACCTCCGCAGCATTGCATGACACAGGTGCACTCACGTACATGCAGGCAATACACTCATAAACATAAAATAAAAATAATAAATAAAACATTTAATAAATAAATGAATGAATAAATAAATTGGGCTGGAGAGCTGGTTCAGCAGTTAAGAGCACTGGCTGGTTTTGCATAGGACTTGGAGTCAGTTCCTAGCATCCACCTGGCAGCTAGTAACCACCTGTAACTCCAGTTCCATGAGTGCCAACGCCCTCTTCTGGCTTCCACAGGCACTACAAACATGTGGTGCACTTATACACTAGCAAAACACCACACACTTAAAAATAAACTTAAAAAAAAATTTAAATGGCGACTGTGAAGCCACATGTAGTGGCACATGCTGTTAGTCCCAGCACTCTGTGAAATCAAGGCCAGCCTGGACTCCATAGCCAGTTCCAGGCTAGCTGGAGCTACAGGGAGACCCTTTCCCAAAAAGACAGAAAAAAAAAGAATGGTTGACTGAGGTCAACCTCCAGCCTCTACACACACATGCACACACAAAGGTATGTGCACACCCAGCCACACACACAGATAAAGCAAAAGTGGGCTTGAAATGCAGGCTTGAGGGGGCTGGAGAGATGGCACAGCAGTTAAGAGCACTGGCTGCTCTTGCAGAAGACCTGGGTTTGAATCCCAGCACCCACGTGGTGGCTAACAACTGTCCATAACTCCAGTTTCAGGGGATCCAAGGTCCTCTTCTGTCTTCTGTGGACACTGTACCACACAGTTGCACTTACATACATGCAGTCATAACACTCATACACATAAAATATACATAAAAACAAGAAAGCTGGGCGTGGTAGTGCACGCCTTTGATCCCAGCACTTGGGAGGGAGAGGCAGGTGGATATTGGAGATCAGGGCCAGCCTGGTCTACATAGTTCCAGGCCAGCTGAGCTACAGGGAGACCCTGTCTCAAAAAGACCCCCCCTCCAAAAAAATTCAGGCTTAAACAATGCCACACTCTAGGTCTAGGGCCTGGGACTCCCACAACTGTTCCACCCATGCCCACCTGTCCCTGCAGGTTTCGAGTTCTTTGAGGCCAGTGCCAAGGACAACATCAACGTGAAGCAGGTGTTTGAACGCCTGGTGGATATCATATGTGAGAAGATGAACGAGTCCTTGGAACCCAGTCCCAGCCCTAGCAGCAATGGGAAGAGCCCTGCCTTGGGTGACACCCCACTTCCCCAGAGTAGCAGCTGCAGCTGTTAAGAGCGGCCCTTGGTTCCCCACACACCCCTGTTCCCTGCTGCCACACCCCCAGGACTGCAACTGAGGTGCTAGCCTTAGGGGCTGTCTCTAAGCTCAGGGCACCCCCTTTCCCTCCTGTCTATTGCCCCCCTCCTCCTGCACAACTCCCTGTCTCCCTTTCTGTCAATGTTGATGTGCTCAGACAGCCCTGGTCCCAACCAACAAACCCAAGGGGCTCAGCTCAGCATTGGGTGCTAGGCTAGCTGCATTCCAGGGCATTTAAATGGGGTGGCTTTAGGCAGCATGTCCTGCTGTGAGTGATGGAAGGGAAGTCCACCCTACAGCTGCTTTGCAGGTATATAATCTACTCTGGGTATTGCCTCGTGTGTAGAAGCCAGGCAAAGATGTCACTTGGTATAGGCTGTCCCACTTAACCCCAGAATATATGGAGGCAGCCTCTCATCTCAGGTCCCCCAGCCTGGCCTTGAACCTGCCCATGAACTGCCTACTTAAACCAAGCACCCAAGCAGGGCTTGCATTCCAAACCTCTGCTTGCTTACCATCTACAGAAAGCCTATTTTCTCATTTTACAAGGGACAGAAAGTCAGCCACCTCTGGCATCAGGGACCCTCAAAGTGCCTTCCAAGCTCCCTCTGAACTCACATTCAGTGTGTGCGCTGACCCACTGCATCACTCATTGGGAATCAAATTCTGGAATACTCCAGGGTCCATCATATGGGGTCCGAGAACTGCTTCCCCCTTAGCTGTCCTGCTTTGTGTCAGGAGGTCCCCTCAGAGGTAGGGGACAAAGGCCTCTGGCTCAGGCCCCCATCTGTGTCTGCCTGGTTGTATTTTAATCAAGAGCATTCCAAATCATATCCTGCTTGGAGGAAATTGAGAAAGCAGCCTGTGGTGTGTGCTTGCTGGTCAATTTCTGAATGGGGATTTGGGTTTTCCCAACCCCAGGATCTTTGAAGACCCAGTGTCTGTGTCATTTGTGGGCCCATGGAATGTGAAATTTGTGTTCTCTTTGGAGTCCCTTCTATAAAGGATGCTGTGGGGTTGGGTCTCAAAGCATCAGGGAGAAGGCAGTAAGGGGTGGCCCACCTTGTGGGAGTGGCAGGCCCTCCTGGGGATGGGGAGTCGACTGGGACTGACATCCATGTCTCTACAAAGCTGGGGACCCAGCTCTGAGGACCCTCAAATATATGCAATTCCAGGAGCCATGCTTGTCCTAACCCCCACTTCTCCCCTCACTAGGTGGCCCTTTCTACTCAGTGACATCTAAACTGGTGACATGCTGCCTCCTGACCTTAAGTGCCATCTGATACCCCATGATTTGGGTGACCCTGCCCTAAGCTTATGATTTCCTTTGCCACCTTCCGCATTGTCAGGGGTCAAGTCTAGGCCCTTAAGCCAAAATGATTTCTATAGCCTTAGACAGCTCAGTGCCGACCCCTCCCCTCAACCAACAGTGTGCAGGAGCAACAAAGCCTAGTTCAAGATCAAAGTAATTTCTCTTTCATTCTTTCATTTTAAAGATAAGATCTCCCTGTAGCCCCAGCTGGCTTGGAACTCACTCTGTAGACCAGGCTGGCCTCAAACACAGAGATCCGCCTGCCTCCGCCTCTCAAGTGCTGGGATTAAAGGCGTGTGCCACCACGCCCAGAAAATGGATAAATTATAGTAACACAAAGTGAGGATGTCTAAATACCTGGAGGACGGAATCTTTGTTTTTTGTTTTTTTTCTGTTTTAAGTTAAATAGTCAAAGCTGCTAAATGACTTTTTTTTTTTTTTTTCCTTTTTGAAGCAGGGTCTCTCTGTAGCCCCAGCTGTCCTGGAACTCACTATGTAGACCAGGCTGGCCTTGAACTCACAGAGATCCGCCTGCCTCTGCCTCCCAAGTGCTGCGACTACAAGCATGTGCCATCATGCCTGGCTAAAAATGATATCTTAAGATTCTTTGGAGGGGGCAGTGGCTCAGTGGTTAAGAGCACTGGCTTCTCTTGCAGAAAACCCAGGTTCAGTTCCCAGCACCCACATGGTAACTAACATCTGTAATTCTAGGTCAAGAAGGTCCAACACACTCTTCTGGCCTCCTCAGGCCTCACAGGTACATGGTGCACTTACATGCAGACAAAACACACATAAAAAGTAATAAAAAAAAATTAAAAACCTTCAGCAGGGGCTGAGGATGTGGCTCAGTTGGTAGAGCACTTGCCTATGTTGCAAGTGGGTTACCATCAGTGACTAAACCATACGTGGTCCACACCTGCGAGCCCAGCAATCGGGAGCCAGAGGCAGAAGGATCAGAAGTTCAAGATCATCTTTGGCTACATAGGACGTTTGAGCCTGGGTTACATGAAACTTTGTCTCAGGAAAAAAAAAGAGAGGGCTTGCCCTGTTCAAAATTCTGTTGGCCAGGTCACTTCTTAAACTATTGCCCAGAGCTGGAGTGCTGGCTCAGCAGGTAAGAGCACTGGCTGCTCTTGCAGGGGACCCAGGTTTGGTTCCCAACACCCACAAAGCAGCTAGCAACTCTAACTCCAGTTCCAGGGGATCCAATGCCCTCTTCTGGCACACGGATGCACTTAATACATGCAGCAAAACATTCATACACATAAAATAAACATTTTAATCTCCTGTTCAAAACAAAGGTAGCCTAACTTGTGTTTTCCTACGGGCCAACCTTGTCACTGCTGTGTGATAAAATCACCTTTGACTGGGTTTTGGACTTAGGCCTTCTGTTGACATAAAATTCTGCCACAATGTCACTTCAAGCAGCAACACAGAAAATCAGTTTATCCATTTTCTCAAAATTGGGAGTTGGGCTGGCTGAGTGGGTGAAGGAGCTTGCCACAAAACCTGATAAACCTGAGTTTGATCCTCAGGCACCGCGTGGTAGAAGGACAGAACCAACTCTCAAAGTTGGCCTCCAACCTCCACATGTGTGCCATGGCACAAACATGTTATAATAAATGTAAAAAGAAATTTTAATGCCTTTAAAAATATTTTTATTTTTTACAATTTGTGTTTTTTCTTTTTCTTTTTCTTTTTCTTTTTTTTTTTTTTTGAGACAGGGTCTCCCTGTAGCTCCAGCTAGCCTGGAACTCACTATATAGACCAGGCTAGGCTTGAACTCACAGAGATCTGCCTGTCTCTGCCTCCTGAGTGCTGGGATTAAAGGTGTACACCACCACACCCTGAATTTTTTTGTGTGTATGAGTGTATTGCCTTCATGTATGTAAGTACACCCATGTTGTTCAGTGCCCTTAGAGATCAGAAGAGTAAGTTGGATTACCCTGGAACTGGAGTTACAGATGGTTGTTAACTGCCATGTGGATGCTGGGGACTGGGTCCACTGCAAGAGCAGCCAGTGCTCTTAACCGCTGAGCCAGCTCTCCAGCCCCTAAAAAAGTTTTTTAACTGAAGATAATGTACATTTTTTTTCAGCCAATTAAGTAAGGCAAGTTTGAATTTTATGATTCTTGGAGGAAGGGGTTTCAGGGAAGGGTTACTAGTCACTGTCACTAGTGAACGGAAGCTGCCATTTTTGTAGATAGCTGAGGGCAATGGAGGCTTGTTAAGTTTATGGATAGAAGGCGGACCAAAGAGCATGGGAAAATCAAGAGAATGAAGCCAATCACCATCACCTCTTGTCACAGTAGCATCTGTCATTAGTGGTTCATTTCTCCACAGGCATTTTGGGAGAGAAATGGCCATTACTGACAGTTTTACAATCTGGAATTTTAGGTTTTGTTTTGCTTCGTTTATGTTTCTTTCTGGCTCATGTGTTTGTGTTTGTTTCTAGAGAAAGGATCTCACCCTGCAGCCCACGCTGGCCTGAATTTCATTAGTTAGTCCAAGCTGTCCTGGAACTCATGGCATCCTCCTGCCTCAGCCTCATGAGAGCTGAGATTATAGGTGCGAGCCACCACATATGACTGGGATCTTGTTCTTTGTATCTTGTTTCCTCCTCCATGTTAAAAAACAAGTAATTAAGTTTGATTTCAGGAATGTGTGTGTGTGTGTGTGTGTGTGTGTGTGTGTGTGTGTGTGTTTGTGTGGAGACAGGGTCTGATGTAGCCCAGGCTGGTTTTGAACTCAATGTGTAGCTAAGGATGACTTTGAACTCTTTTTGTAATTGAGATAAGGTCTGAAACTCACTATGTAGACCAGGCTGGCCTGGAACTCCCAGAGATTCACCTGCCTCTGCCTCTCGAGTGCTGGGATTAAAGTCATGTGCCTACCTTGAACTCTTGGTCCTCTTGCTTCCATTTCCCAAGCTCTGGGAGTACAGGTGTTCTATGCAGTGCTAGGGATGAAGCCCAGAGCTTCCTATATGCTAGGCAAGTGCTCTACCCACTAAGCTACAGCCCCCTGCTCTCTGTTTCTAAGTGCTAAGTCTGCTACTGGTCTACCTTCTTCAATTCTGAAACTTTCCTGAATGAACTCTTCCATCTCCAGCCCATCTTGTGAATCCTCAATGCACCTCCTCTGTGTAAGCAATTCCTTGGTATCCAATTCAGAAAATTTTGCACTTTTTTTAACATGATAAATAAAGTGGTTGCATTACTTTTCTGTTGCTGTGACAGAAACACCATGACCTAGGGAACTTACAAAAGGAAGAGTTTATTTAGCTTACCATTCCAAAGGGACAAGACTCCACATGGTACCGAAGCATGGCAGCAGAGGTAGCTGGAGCAGGAGCAGAAGTGAAGCTCTCACATCTTCAAGCAGGCACAGGAAGCAGAGTGTGACTGGAGATCTGGCAAGGCTTAAGTAAGCCCCCGGTGACCTGTTTCCTCCTTCATGGCCACATCTTCTAAGACATCCCAAAACAGCAGCACCAAATGGGGACAGAAATGCTCAAATACTTGGGGCCTATGGAGGACATTCTCATTCAAACTACTACAGCTGTTATACATAGATTTTTCAGGGCAGGGTTAGTTTTTTTGAGACAGGGTTTCCCTGTAGTCCCAGCTGGCCTGGAACTTGCTGGCTTCCATCTTATGGAGATCTGCTTGCCTCTGCCTTCCAACTGCTGGGACTAAAGGCATGTGCCACCACTCTCAGCATTACTGTTTTGTTTAAATTCACCACAAAGCCTGTGGTTATTTGTGATGGAAACCACCCTCATCAGGCCTGGAGCTACCTCTAGCCAGGCCCTCTGGCTACTACCTTGGGTCTAGAAATTCCCACTTTGTTGAGTCAGCAAGATGGCTCAGCAAATAAGGGAGCTTACCACCAAGCCTGACAAGCTGTTTTATCTGAGACCCACACATTGAAATGGAGAACTGACCCCTGCAACTTGTTTTCTGACTTGCCCATATGTATGTGTTCACTCCCACTATAAAATAAATGCAAACAAAAAAATTTTAAGTTCCACTTTAAAGTGTAAGACTCTGAAGGCATGGCTCTCTCACATCCTAGTATAAAATCTATCTTCCCAGAGGCCAGGAAGATGGCTCAGTGATTAAAGGCACTTGCTGCCAAGCCTGATGACCTGAGTTTGATCCCAGGAACCCACATAGTGGAAGGAGAGAACCACTTCCACAAGTTGTCTGCTGAACTCCACACGTGTGTGCCATGGCTCCCTCCCCTCCAACCACCAATAAATAAATGTAATTTTTAAATTTTTATGAATATTTATGAGGTAGTTGGTATACTTGTGGGGTAAGGTGACCCCTTTCCCTCCCAAATCATGTTGGAACAGATCTCCCTTTGAGCATATTTCCTCCCATGATCCCCACAAAAGAGGAAGAGATGTCAAAACCAGTTCAGGCCTTCTAGCAGGCCTTTAATCCCAGGACAGGGAGGCAGAGGCAGGCAGATCTCTAGGAGTTCCAGCTCATCCAGGAACAAAGAACAAACAACCCAACAATCCCAAACACCAAACTACACAATTCAAGTGATATTATAATGATGTCAGGCCTTTTGAGCATGCAAACCTATGTCAGTGCACATGTGTGGGAGGCTTCTCTGGTGACCTACCTACAGCTTAAAGGATGTTTAACTACAGAAGGGTATTCTGAAGCACCAGGAGATACAGCCAGCAAGATGGGGCTATCTCTTATTTAAGTCCATGCCTACCCTGTAACAGCCCAATCTTCTCTTTGTAAATACCCAGTCTCAGGCATTTGATTATAACAAGATCTAGACTCACACACCATCACATTTAGTTATTTCAAACAAATCATTGTCTGCCAGCGCTCAAAGACTACAGAGAAGGACATGAGGGCTGACAGGGGTTCTTTGATATTTTATTATCAATTTGCCCTCCAAGAGCAGTGAGTGCCCCTGAGAAATAAAAGAGGGCCTGATCTCAGTAGCCGGGGGACTCCATAGCCTGTCCTCTTCCAGCCCGTGTCAGCCCAACTTGATGAACAGCAACAAGGTGGTAAGAATTCCTGGCAACTGCAAGAAGAGATAGACATCAAACCATGGAATCATCAGTAGGGACCCTCCAAAGTCAAACTGGAGATGGCCAGTGAGATGGCTCAGCACGTAAAAACCTAATGATCTGAGTTCAGTTGGAAGGAAAGAACCAACTCCCGAAAGTTGTCCTCTGGCCACCACACATGGTGCCATGGTACACATGTTCCCACACACACAAATAAACAATATTGTTAAAGTTATTTGTTTTTAAAAATCAAGGTGGGCTTAGTGTGGTGGCACATGCCTTTTAATCTCAGCACTTGGGAGGCCAAGGCAGTCAGATCTCTGTGAGTTCCAGGCCACCCTGGTCTATGTAGCAAGTTTCAGGCAAGCTGGGGCCACAGGGAGACCCTGTCTCAAAAAATAAAATAAAACAACAACAATAACAAACACCCCCCCAATCTACCCATCCATCCATCCATTCATCTTATCTATCATCTATCTATCTATCTATCTATCTATCTATCTATCTATCTATCTATCTATCTATCAATCATTGTAGTCCTGGAATGCCTGTAACTCACTATGTAGCCCAGGCCAGCTTTGAACTCACAGAGATCTGCCTGCCTCTGTGTCCCCAGAGCTGAGACTAAAGGGATACAGCACCAGCATGCCCAACCTCCATTTTTATTTTTGAAATATAACATTATTTAAAGTGTTTGTCTCTGTGTGAGTATGAAGGTCAGAGGACAACTTGAAGGAATTGGATCTCTCCTTCTACCATGTGGGTCCTGAGGCTCAATCTCAGGTCATCAGTGTGGCAGCAAGTGCCTTTACCTGCTTGAACCGTTTCCCAGCCTTTCCATTCATTACTGAAGACTTTATCTTTGTTCAATTTTCTACCTTCCATTCAATTGCATCAGTTTTGCTTTATTTATTTTGGACTTCCACTTTTTGGTGTATACATGTTTATACTTATGTTATTGTGCATTTAAAATTTATGTAGATATGGTTATAATAATTATGATTTCCTGATGGGTTGACTCTTTTATAATTATACAAAATGTCTTTCCCCGGGGCTCAGCAGTTAAGAGCACTGACTGCTCTTGCAGAGGACCCGGGTTTGATTCCCAGCACCCACATGGCAGCTACGAACCATCCTTAACTCCAGTTCCAGGGGAATCCGAAGCCCTCTTTTCATCTCTTCGGCATTGCACAACACGGGTGCACTCACATATATGCAGGCAATACACTCGTACACACACAAAAAAAGTCCCCATAGTAACAATTTCATATTTACTAATTTATGTATGTAAATATTGGTTAAACCACCATAACTTTCTTTTGATTGCCATTGACATTACATATAATCATATATACATGTATACGCACATTCACAGACACATGCATACACAGGCATGCATATTCACTTTTTCTTCCCATGGTTGTAGAATGCAGCCTGGGCCCTCTCCTGAATTAGCCGGGACCTACCCCAGCCGTGCTGTGGGGGACCCTTCCCAGCCTTTCCCACCTTCTCCATTCTTTTACTTTCAATGTATTTGTGTCTTTGACCCTCAATATGGTTTTAGACTGGATATTATTTAAATTTTTTTGAGACAGTGTTTCATGTAGCCCAAGTTGGACTCAACTAGGCTCAACTGTAACTGAGGATGATCTTGAACTCTTGATCCTCCCACCTTTACCTCTCAAGGTCTATCAGGACTACAGATGTGCACCACTGTGCCTGATTCTTGATCATATTCTAAAACCTGTCCTTCCAATCTTTGCTTCATGATGATGAGGAGGAGGAGGAGGAGGAAGATTATTATTATTATTATTTTATTACTTTTTTTGAGACAGGGTCTCCTTGTAGCCCCAGCTGGTCTGGAACTCATGATGTAGACCAGGCTGGCTTTGAGCTCACAGAGATCCGCTTGCCTCTACCTACCAGGTGCTGGGATTAAAGGCCTGCATCACCACATGACCATTACATTTTATTTTGTGTGTGCATGCATGAGGGCATGCGTGTGTGTGTGTGTGTGTGTGATGGCACACGTGGAGACTGGAGGACAATTTGAGGGTATTGGCTCTCCTATTTGGGATCGAACTCAGGTTCTTCTTGAATGGCCAGCATTTACTGATTCTGTCCTCTCCCTAGCCCTTAAACTTTTGATCCTCCTGCCTCCACCTTCCACATGCTGGGATTATAGCCATTGCCACCACAGCTGGCTCAGATGAGAATGTTTCATTTTCAAAAGGGAAGCCTGTTTTTATGTTTAAAATTTGGGAAATAGGACTAGAGAGCACTGCCTGCTCTTGTAAGGGACTGGGATTTGGTTCCCAGCATTCGCATGGCAGCTAACAACTGTCTGTAACTCCAGCTCCAGGGTATCTCATGCCCTCATCTGGCTTCTCAGGCACTACATGTACATGCACCCATGGAGCTGGACATGGTGCTTCATGTCTTTAATTCTAACACTCAGGAGGTAGAGGTAGGCACCTCACTGTGAGTTGGAGGCTATATTGTCTAGGTAGAGTTTCAGGCCCACCAGAGCTATATACTGAGACTCTGTCCCAAGAATCTTGGACACTGTTTTCCTCATATCTATTGCTTTATCCACTGTGCCTGTGACATTTCATATTTCCTTGTCCTTTACAAGTCTTGACTGTGTAAAAACCAGGACCAGATTGAAAAGGACTTAGCAATGCCTGCCTTGGTTTGTTTGTTTATCCGTGTGTGTGGTGTTCACACACCTGTTCACACTTGCGTATAGAGGCCAGAGCAGGATGGGGGGGGTGGCATTGCCCTGTTATTTTCTGCCACATTCCCTTGAGAGAAGAGTCTTTCACCGAGCCTGAAGCTAAGTTGGCAGCCATTTGTGTTCCTCCTGGATCAACATCCTCAGTGCTAGAACTGAAGGTGGGCCCTGGTGTTCTGTGAGGTGGCACTGCAGGACCTAACTAGGTAAGTGCTTTCCTCAAGGGAGCAAGTTTCACTCTGCTGAGACTGGATGACTCATTGCATGAGGAGGGTGTCAGAAAATGAGGCTACCCTCCATGTCCTGTATCTCCCGCAACACCTCCCTGCCCTCCTGCTTTCCACCTCAGCCGTAAGGAGCAAAACACCCTCAATAGAAGCCACAGCAGATCCCAGAGACTCTCCACTTCCCAGCTCCCTGACCCATAAGCCAAATAAATCCCTTAGCCCACCAGTCATATTAGCACTTGGCAGGCAGAGGCAGGTGGATCTCTGTAGGACTGAGGCTAGCCTGGTTTACATAGTGAGTTTCAGGCCAGCTGGGGTTATATACAGGGAGACCCTGTCTCAAAAAAACAAAGGAAAAAAAAAAAAAAACCAAAAACCAAAAAACTGAAACTCAAGGCTAGAGAGATAGCTCAGAAGGTTAAGAGCACTGGCTGCTCTTTCAGAGGACCTGGTTTCAGTTCCCAGCACCCACATGGAGCTAACAACTGTCCTTAACTCCAGTTTCAGGGGATCTAATGCCCTCTTCTGGCCTCCAAGGCATTGCATGCTCATGATGCACTTATGTACATTCAGGGAAAACACTCATACATGTAAAATAAAAAGAAACCTCCAAACAACAAAAATGTATCGGATGGCTTTCGGGTGGCTGGTCCCCGTAATTCCTGCTATGCCAGGAGGATTGTCGTGAGTTCAAGGCCATCCTGGGCTACAGAGTAAGATTGTTTCAAAAAGCAAAAAATAGCCAGGCATGGGGCTGGAGAGATGGCTCAGAGGTTAAGAGCATTGACTGCTCTTGCAGAGGACCTGGGTTCAATTCCCAGCACCCACAGGGTGGCTACAAACCATCCTTAATTCCAGTTCCAGGGGAATCTGAAGCCCTCTTCTGACCTCCACAGCACTGCACAACATGGGTGCACTCAAATACATGCAGGCAATACATTTATACACATAAAATAAAATAAATAATTTAAAAAATTTTGAAGCCAGGCATAGTGGCACTTACATTTAATCCCAGCACTCTAGAGGCAAAGGCAGGTGGATCTTTGTTAGTTCAAAGCCAGCCTGGCGTATATAGTGAGTTCTAGACCAGCCAGGGCTACACAGTGAGACACTGTCTCAAGAAAAAAAAAAAAAAAAAAAAAAGAAAGTAAAAAGAACCCTCTCCCTACTCAAGAAAGGAAAAAGCAAAAAAGAGGGAGCTGACACTGAGTTGCTTGAGCACTTGCCCAGCATACAGCCCTGGGTTCCATCCCCAATTCTGTGTGTATCAGTGGGTCTGTGTGTGATATGTGCATGAGCGTGCAGGTACCAGTTAAGAGCAGATCCCATGGTGCTGGCATTACAGGCAGTTCTGACCTGCCTGACATGGGTGCTGGGAACTGAACCTAGGTCCTTTGCAAGAATAGCAAGTGCTCTTAACCACTGAGTCATCTTGTCAGTCCCTTGATAGGTCTTTTACTCACCTCCTCAGGTGCCAATTGACGCCACCTTAGAGAAGCCCTTTCTGACCTTTGCCTCACCTATCAGCTTTACTTCCCAGAAAATGCTTTGGTTTTTTAAAATTTTTTAAACTTTATTTTGTTTTGTTTTGATATAGGGTATCATGAAGCCCAGGCTGGCCTCCAACTTATTATGCATCTGAAGATGACCTTGAATTCCTGATCCTCCTGCCTCCACTTCTGGAGTGCTGGGATGACAGGTGTGTGCTACCATGCCTGGTTCATTCAGTGCTGCAGAATCAAACCCAGGTTTGTGAATGTTAGGCAAGCACTCTACCTAGTGAGCTACATCCCCAGCCTACCAAGGCAAGTGTCTTTAACTGAGATGATAATCTGCCTTCATTTGAATGACAGGTCCGGCATAGCAGAGACTGAGATCTTTCTCTCACTGGTACCCAAACACTGTTCAGCATGTAGAAGAAGCCTCGTCTCACCAGTTGAGGCTGGTGAGATGGCTCAGTGGGTAGAGGAGCTTGCTGCCTAGATTGATGACCTGAGTTGAATCCCAGGACACTCATTTTGTAAAGAAAGAATCAAGTCCCGCATGTTGTCCTCTGACCTCCACACATGTGCTGTGGCATACTGGAACATGTACGCACACACGCACACATGCACGCACACTCAATCATCCATCCATTCATCCATCCATGAGATTCTAAAAAAGAGTTCCATGGGTCCCAGAAAGACTGGGTCTTACCTGCATCGCTGCTGCCCCCAGGGAGACTCTACTCAGTGTGAAGGTCTGGGCCTTGGTTATTTGCAGGAGTTTGTCAAAGCAGCCCTGAGACAGAGCAGCCCCAGCTCATTAGGAATTGGGGGATCAGAGACTCGCTGAAGTCCACCCCTCTGGCCAATCCTATCCCGACAGAGGAGGAAAGCCCTGGGGATTCTGGCTGTTTCCCATCTGACCACCTCTCCAAACTGGCTTTTCCCCTGGCCTGCTTCTCCAGGGTCAGAAAGCACTCACTGTTCACTCCCTTCTCCCCACTGAGTTCAGGAGTGATGGATATGGGTGACCAGGCAGAGCTGTGTGACGTTGAGGAAGACATTATACCTCTCTCCCCACTGAGTTCAGGAGTGATGGATATGGGTGACCAGGCAGAGCTGTGTGACGTTGGGGAAGACATTATACCTCTCTGCACCTTTGCTACCTACCTACAGTTGGAACCAGGAACATCTTCCCTACAAGATTTTTGTGAGAGAACTGGTGAGCTGGTTCAGCAGTTAAGAGCACTGCTCTTGCAAAGGACCTGGGTTCTGTTCCCAGCACCCACATGGCAGGTAACAGCCATCTGCAACTCCAGTTCCAGGGGACCTGACACCCTTATCTGACCTTCACATGCACTTTCGTGTATGCAAGCAAAACACTCATACATATAAAATTAATTAATTAATTAATTAAATTTAAAAAATTTTGGGAGGATGTCAAGAACATCCATGAAGGGACTCAACTGTTATTTCTGTCCCTCCCATCTTCTCCTGTCTTCTCTTTCTCTTGCTTTCTTTCATTTTTGTGGGGGGTGGGGTGGGGACAAGGTCTCCCTGTAGCCCCAGCTAGCCTAGAACTTGCTATGTAGACCTGGCTGACCCCGATCTCACAGAAATCCACCTGCCTCTGCCTCCTCAGTGCTGGCCACCATGCAAGGCTCTTTTCTGTTTTTGAATTTTTTTTTACATGGCTTCAATATATTTTTAATATACTCACCCTTCACCCCCCCCAACTTCTCCAACTCCTTATCTAATGTTCTTTTTTTTTTTTCTTTTAATCTCTAGACGTTCACCTAGGATATTTACATTTTCCGGGGGGCACAGGTGAAGGTGCACTGGGACTGTAGAAGACAAATAGAAAAATGATGGACAAGCTCTTGGTGTCTGGGAGTGGGAAAGGCCCAACGTCATGGCCTGGGTGCCCAGGACCAGCTGTGGAGTCAAGACCTTAGCTGGCCATCCAGGGAGGTGGGAGTCCATTGAGAATCAGTCCTCCCAATATGAGAATATACAAATGACAGAAACCTTCCTGTCCCCAGCATAAGTCTAACACAGAGGCAAAGCCACTGCCATGCACAACCTGGGACCTTGGGGGAGGGGGCTTTGGGGAACGCAGCCCCTCAGAGAGGACCGAAACTGAGGCCCAACATTGGGAAGTCCTCCATCCTCCAATCTGCTCCACCACCAGTCTACCACCAGAAGAAGGTGGAACCATGGCTCATGATTAGGGAGCACAGCTCCAGCTCACAAGAGGGGACCACAGCTCCAGGTTCCTGGGAGGGGTCTGCAGCTCCACTTACTATTATTTTTAACTAATTAATTTTTTCAAAAATTTTATTTTATTTATATTTTTATGTGTATGAGTGTTCATTCTGCCTGCATGTAAGTGCATCTGTGTTGTGCAATACTTGCAGAGGCCAGAAGAGGGCATCGGATCTCCTGGAACTGGAGTTACAGATTGTTGTTAGCTACCATGTAGGTGCTGGGGACAGAACTTGGGTCCTCAGCAAGAGAAACCAGTGCTCTTAACTGCTGAAACGGAGTGCTCTTAACTGCTGGAGCCAGCTCTCCAGCCCCTATTATTGTTGTTGTTGGTGGTGTTGTTGTTATAATAATACTTATTATTTGTGTGTGTGCATGTGCGTATGTGTTTGTGTAAGTATAAACATACATATGCATATGCTGCCATTGCAGGCCAGAAGATGGTGTTGGAGTCCTTGGCGCCAGAGTTACAGGCAGTTGTGAGCTGCCGGGATCTAAATTTAGATTATGTTGACTGAGCAGCAAGTTCTCTTAACACATGAGTCATCTCTCCAGCTCCTGGGTTTTTTTATTTGTTTTGTTTTTATTGTTTTTATTATTTTTTTCAGACAGGGTCTCACTATGTAGCAGTGTAGCAATGTAGCCACTGGCTAACCTGGAGCTCACTATGTAGCTCAGGTTAGCTTCAAACTCTCTATGTAGCAGATGATAACCTTAAGCTCTTTGATCTTCCTACCTCCACCTCCCAAGAGATAAGGTTATAAAAGAGTGTCATAAAATTGTTTTATGTAGTTCTGAGGACCAAACACAGGACCCTCTGAATTCTAGGCAAGCACTCTACCAACTGAGCTACATCCCCACTAGTATGTACTTGCTTATTTAAAAATAGGGCCTTGCCAGGCATGGTGGCACACACCTGTAATCCTAGCACTCAGGAGGCATAGGCAGCCAGATCTCTGTGACTTCGAGGCCACCCTGGTCTACAAAGTGAGTTCCAGGCCAGCTGGGGCTATAGCTACAGCTGTCCCAAAAAGACAGTAAATAAATAAATAAATTAATTAATTAATTAATAATTCATTAATTATTAATTAATTAAAATAGGGCCACATGGGGCTGGAGAAATGGATCAGTGGTTAAGAATACTAGTTGTTCTTGCAGAAGACCCGGGTTCAAATCCCAGCACCCGCATGGCAGCTAACAACTCTTGTAACTCCAGTCCCAGGGGATCCAACAACCTCTTCTGACCTCTGTGGGCATTGTGCAACATGGATGCACTTACCTACATGCAGACAATACACACATACACATAAAAAATAAATAAGCCGGGCATGGTGGCACACGCCTGTAGTCCCAGCACTGGGGAGGCAGAGGCAGGTGGATCTCTGTGAGTTCAAGGCCAGCCTGGTCTACATAGTAAGTTCCAGGATAGCTTGGGCTACAGGGAGACCCTGCTTCAAAAAGATAAATAAATAAATAAATAAATAAATAAATAAATAAATAAATTTTTTAAAGTTTAAAAAAATAGGGTCTCATGCAAAGTGTAGTGGCAGACACCTTTAATTAGCCTTGGGAGGTAGAGTCAGGTAGAGCTCTAAGCCATGGTCTACACTGCAGAGTTCTAGGCCAGGTAGGGCTACACAGTGGAGACTCTGTCTCAAAAAGCAAAAACAAAAACAAACAGGTCTACAGACCTAGCCTAGTGATTAAGAGCAATGGCTGCTCTTGCAGAGGACCCAGGTTTAATTTCCAGCACCCACATGGCAGCTAATCACCATCTATAACTCCAGTTCCAGGGGATCCAATGTGCTCTTCTTGCCTCTGTGAGAACTACACACACATGTTGCACTTACAAACATTCAGGAAAAATGCTCATACAAATAAAAATAAATGTAGCTGGGCATGGTGGCACATGCCTTTAGTCCTAGCACTTGGGAGGTAGAGGCAGGTGGATCTCTGTGAGATCAAGGCCAGAGTGGTCTACGTAGCGAGTTCCAGGCCAACTGGGATACCATAAAAAGACCAAACTTATGAATCATAGGCATACAGGAAGGGGAAGAATCCCAAGATAATGGCATTGACCAGATCCTCAACAGAATCATAGAAGAAAATTTCCCAAAATTAAAGAAAGACATGCCCATACAAATACAAGAAGTATATAGAACACCAAACAGACAGGACCAGAAAAGAAACTCTCCACGGCACATCATAGTAAAAACACTACATGTACAAAACA